AGGAAAAATTTATTTGCAGTAGAGCATCCATTACATATGAGAACATCAAATTTGCTTCACTGGTGGGTCAACTGATCAACTTATAAACCAAATTTATATATCAGGTCTTGTGAATAAAGGATTCTGTTATTTTTACTTTTTTTTTTTTTTTTTGCACAATTTTATCTGCTTTTTCCCCTAGTGAGTAAAAAACTATTCTCAGATTTTTTTTTTTTTTTTTTTTTTTTTTTTTTGCATAATATAATATAATGGAAGAAAATAAATGGGATTTTGCAAAATGTAATATAAAAGCATACAGAAAGTTATGCAAATTTTGAAAGTTTTTGTTCCAGCCATGTTATGGAATCCAAAATGAATTATTCAAGTCTGAAAATGCCAAGTGATCATTAAAATTTACCAGAACATTGTTTTCCTATTGCACTTAAGAGTGTTCCTAGAAGATAAAAATTCCCTGCTCTGACAAAAATTGTCAGTGTGACAGTAGGACATGCTGCCTGTGATTTGGTATTGTAAGTTGGCGGCAGTATGGGCACTTCTTACAAGTTCCCCGTAAGCCCTCACCTATGCAAGCATGGATGATTTCAGCTGGTGCTAGGAAGTGTGTGGGTCTGTCCCTGCTCTGTAATGCTTTCTACCATCATATTGCCACCTTTTTTTTTTTTTTTTTTTTTTTTATCCATGTGACTTTTTTAGGACAGAACCCCTTTCTTTTATTTCTGTACCTAAAATGAAGCCTGAATACAGACAAGAAGTGGGAATCCATTGGGATTCCCAGGTGGTATCACAGCCTCAAATACCCACCTGAATGCCAGTTTAAAAATAGAAGGAAAAATAAAATAAAATAAAATATAGAAATAATAAAAATAATAAAATAATAAAAACAATGCCAACTGTTTTACAGCATTGTAAGGAACATATTTTATTCATTAACTTAGTTATCAAAGAGCATGGTTGATGTGGTCTTACTTTTGTTTCTTGTCTGTTCAATTTCTTGTTCTCATGCCCTAGAACTCTTTGGTTTTAGTCACTGCATGACATCGCTTAAATCAGAGTGAGAATGAAGTCACAAAGTGAGCAGTAACCCAGCCTTCTCCAAAATTCTTGTGAGGAAACTGAATTCACAATTATTAGCATAGATTGATAAATGAATACTCACCAGTGTGAAATTAAAATTCACCTTAGCATGGGTGTTTGCTTTTGGTTGGTCAGTTTGTTCTATTTTTATCAAGTTAGAGGGTTGTTTGTTTTTTGTTGCTTGCAAACATTATTCATGCCTGTATTCCCAAATATCCGGTCTTTGTGTTTAGATGAGTAAAGTGGTTTGGAAAGAATCCAGATCAGTTCATGCAGAGGCTATGCACATTAATAGAAAACCACATATCAAATCTGAGCATGTGTTTTTTATGCACTTTTACCCTTAAAAAAGACTGTACATATATCTGTACATGGGTGTATATGCATATAGACTATGATGTCAATCTAAAATTGTCAGCAATTTACTGTTTTATATTAGAGAATCAAAAAATACAGTTTTAAAAAAATTTTCATGCATTCATTTTATAATAGTTTTGAGGAAATAGTCATTTAAGTATCTGTATTTTTTCTAGTCGGAGTAGTCTGATAGTATTCAATGTTCATTCTGAAATGGATGAAATATTCAAACTGCCAGGAAATCAACCAACCAAACAACAACAACAACAGTAACAAACATTTTCCTATATAGAGATTCAATTCAATTACATTTTAGCATACAAACTATAAATTTAGCATATGTTGTTAATGTGTTAATGTACTGAAACTGGTGAAAGAGAGAAGTCCTTCCTGCTTTTTTCTTCAAACTGAATTTAAGCATGTTCTTTTCTCCTTTAAAATATGCTGTAAGGCTTGAGTGTGTTAGTATTACAAGTAGTTCAAACAAGACTGTACTACAATATATGATATTTATATTATAATAATTGTACAATATATACAATTATATACAATTATATATATTATATTAATTATACATCATATTATTTTATTATATTTTAATTTTTATATTCTTATATTTACATTTTTATATTTTATTATTATAATATTTATTATACTAATAATCATATGTAAACTATATATATTAATTATTATATATAAATAAATGTATTACATATTATATTAATTATAATAATTATATATAACAATATAATATATATATATAACAATGTATAACTTATTTTCCCTGTCAGGGGTATGGGCAACAGCAGTGTTGCTGTTTGTAAGGTGCCTAACCTGATCTGAGTGCTGGCTGTCCTTGGCAGTGAGATGCTGACACAGCCCAGGGCAGGAGGAGACCCAGAGCGTAGCATCCCTGTTCAGGGGCCCTGTGGCCCCTGCACCAGCTCCTCACGTAACATAGCAGATCCCATTGCTGGAGCTGGGCAAGCCTGATGGGTCACGGATTCAAGGCCTCCCCATGTATCAAGAGGCCACGTGGCAGAAATACACCATTGAGAAGAGCAAGGCTCTCCCTTGCCCCACTTGGTGCTTATCAACAAGAACAATGCTGGCTGCTTTGCAAAATATTATTACTGCAGCACAAAATCTGGGCCTCTGCATATGGCCCGCTGAGTCAGACGTGTTTACTTCATTGAAGTATTAATCTCTATCTCTGATCAGCAGTCAACAACTCCTGGCTCCAGGCTTAATAGAATTTCAAGCTGTAGATTATGCATTTTTGCTGAAAGTATGAGGCTTCTATCGCACTTTGAATGATGTATTCTCCCTCTCACCCCTTTGGTCTGTTTTACATGGTGGAGGGTAAGATAGATAATTAATTCCTCCTATTCCAAGCCTTGACTTTTAATTTAAGAATTTTCTTTAGCATCTGCCAGAATCTTCAGCATGGACTCCTGAGAGATTAAGCAATGAAGAGAGCCATTAAATTAACTTCAGACATTTTTTTTTTTTTTCAGTAGGATGAAGAAGCACTTCAGTATATCAAGTAGTTTCTTTTCTTTGTCATGATAGCAAATTAAAATCAACCAGAAATGTGGGGAAGAAGCTGTTTTTTTCTGATTGTATGACAGGATGGGGAATGTGGAGTCCAGTTTTCTGATACTGCCTTTGTGTGAACAAGAAGTAGGACATGAGGACTGGATCAGTGGAGTGAAACAGCTATTGCCAAGGACATGATACCCACACTATGTGATTGGGAAGGTAGAGTGGGGAGATTTAGCTACACCTAGCTAATATATCAATTTCCTTAGACTTGCTCTGCTATTGCTCTGCTATTGCTTGTAAAGCCTTTCATGAGAGTGAAGCTATTTAAAGGTCTGTTTTGCTGTTCTTTGATGTACTGTGAGGTCCATAAATGATGTCACTGGTGAGTCATTCCTGGCCTGGACTCTGATCACTCTCCTGCTAAGCAGTCTGCCCAATTCTCCATGCTATGTACCTGCTACTCCAAGAAGCCCATATGCTCTTTTCACAGACATAACTTCCCCATTTGGAAAACTGCGTATCATAGATTTCACTAAGATATACACAAAACCAAATGAGTACAAAATTGTCTGGAATGGAATCTCAGGCAAACTGCACATATGTCTACTGAAAAGCCCCAAACAGTAGGACTGGGTTTATGTTTCAGAAGCACAGCGAAGGAAAAATGTTTGGTTTTGAAGTGTTTTGAATCAGTGTCTCCACATATAATTTATGGTGATTTATAGTGCACCAGCTAGTGAGGCTGAAATGTTGTATTCACGGTTCAGAACCAACAAACAATGTGCCTGATGCCTTCCTATTTATTCTGCTTCTGTACAGATTCAGTCTCCCTCCTAGCAGATTTTAAAAATCCTCATTCTTCTGAAATTGTACCATATAATTGTCAATTCACGGATTTGACACCTATTGTGCTTTTGGCAATGGACTGTTTCTTTCAGTGGTAATGTATTGCCCTACTGGGTTTCAGGAAGGATGGCAATTAGAGCTGCTGAACGTTGGGAAATCTGGAGAAGTTCAAAGATGCAGTTATGAATCAAGCATCTTGTGCATGTGCTGGAAACCCAGTGCTCCAGCTGTGTTTGATTCCCTACATGCATGATGTATGGCCTGGTTACATGTACGAAGGCAGTTTACCTGGACCACAGTTGGTTTGCAGTGTGTAATGTGCAGAACAATTATGTACATGTATTGAGTAATGTGTGCAAGATATGTCAGTGGTGCAAACTGCTTCTTGGTATTATTTCTGCTTACACATCGCTTTGGTTAATAATTCTTTTTAAATGATATATGTGAAGTAGGTATATATTTCAAACCCAAGGGAGACTAAGGACCACCTGAACTGGTCATACAAGCCTGTAGAGTAATTATTCTCATTACTTCTGTCTGAATTAAAAAAAAAAAAAAAAAAAAAAAAAAAAAAAAAGGAAAGTCCGCTTCTTGCTCTATTCTCGCTCTATTTTGATTTTGGTATAGCTACCCAACACACACTTGGTTGGAGAATAATGTTGTGACCACTACACCAGAATGCTATATTTTAACATCATGGAAATATTTTTAAAATCTCAGAATATTCTTGGGATTCATTTACTTCATCTAAGCATAATCACTGAACATAAATTACTTGTCCTAGATCCCTCTGTGGACAGTAGAAAAGCATCTTTCAAGAGGGACTACTCCCATCCTAAGCTACGTCTCCAAAATTATTTGTGCAAACAGCCCCTGGCCATTGACTATGTATCTGTAGGGATCCTGAACAATTCATTCAGATGGATTAAGTAAGCTGCAGATACTGAAAGCTGATAAATCAGATATGATGAAATTCTAAACTCATCGCAGACTGTAAGTGTTATGTCTGATGCTCGATCTATTCAGTATAATTTATTTAAAGAATTATTTCATGCATTTAATTTTCCATTCTGTTTGTAATGGATTTAATAAAAGTTGCTAACAGAGTTCACCATTACCTCTGATACTACTCAGGAGGTTGCTCATTTCTGTTGCTGTACTATTTTTGTTTTCTTCAGTCTTCTGGTACCAGTATCACCGTGGATATCGCTGTCATGGGAGAAGCACATGGGCTCATTACAGACCTTCTAGCAGACCCTTCATTGCCTCCCAACGTGTGCACTTCGCTGAGAACAGTGAGCAACCTGCTTAATACCCAGTTAACCTTCCAGGCCATCCACAAACCAAGGGTGAACCCTTTGGTGTCCTTCAGTGAGAACTACACTTGCTCTGACTCAGAGGAATGTCCAGAGAAAGGAGAAAAACTAGCTATTCCTAAGGTAAGTACTGGACAGTAACTGATCTTTCGTTATGGGAGAGCAGTAGATTAATGGAAGATCTCTCTGGAATTTTTGCTTGTTTGCTTTAGATTATCATTTTATGCACTAATCATACTCTCCAATATATGAACAGTTGAACAGACTGTGGTTTTCATAGCAAGACAATCCCTGTGTATCTTTCAACTCATGGCCAGCTAAGCTTTGTTTCAGGCATCTTTAGAAGATGGTATTTGACAAAAGATAATTCACACAGATGATGTGTGTGTTTTTCTCATGGGTGTTGGTTGGAGCTTAAGTGAGAGAAAAATAATCAGGAGCAGAACAAGCAAAAGCCTTTCAGCATCCAAATCACAAGTCTTCCTCATTAATTCTTGCACAGAAATTCCCCTCACACTCAAAATATTTGAGCCGCTGCATGTGGGGTGACAATCCTACTCAATGTATAAAGCAGTAATTTAAGGGACCTTTTTGCCCACTGTGAAGGTTGGAATTTTACATTTTTGTACAAATTTCAGCCTTTTCTTCCTTCCCTTCACTAGGGGTGCAAAACGTGTATAAATCAATAAAAAGATTGCTAATTATGACCTCCATGGGCTTTGGACCAAGTTCAAAATGATATACCAAACAAACAAACAAAAAAGATCACAATACTTAGTATGACAGATATTGTGACCTCATAAGAAATAATCTTGAGACAAAAAAGAATACTGAACGGGAAAAATATATATATTACTGCTTTGACAGATGGCTTTAGGAATGCTCAGGAATTCAACAGGGATATTAACGTTGTTAACCATCCACATTTAGGAAGTTAGGAGCTAGAAAGAATATATCAGCTTTGAAGAAGTTTGTATTGCATGTTCATTGCTAATTAGCTGTCCTGCGAAGCCTACATTTCACTTTCCAAACCAAACTGAAATACTTTTTTCATTTGATTTCACATGTACAATTAAATGTAAGTATATTGCATAGTAAATGCTTTTAACATTTGATGGTTCAAATGTCGCAGACAGCATTCATTTTAGCATTTCTTGGCATCTGAATTGCAACACTTGTGATTCTTTTTGAAATATATTTTAATGATGAAAATTATTACTCTTCTTGCCTGTGTAGCAACTGTATATAAGTGGATGTTCACAGGTTTTGAAGCACATGTTCCAGTTAAGTTTAGTGTACATGTTTGCAATGGCTATACTTTAGTCTGTAAGGAGAAAAAATACATGGAAGAACACTGCCATCACATGAGCAAACAGTGAACACATACCAGTTTGTAGTTGCATAACTCTCAGTGAAAAGAGAAATGAAGGATGAAGAAATGAGTTAATGCTACAGAGGAGTAATTTGACTGAAGAATTCACTGACCTGAATGCATTATGGTTCACAAAACTAATGTTTGCAGTCCTTTATTTATGTGTCTAAATATAGATTTAGGGTCTTTACCTTAATCATCTGACACTGAGTATTTTGGATATGGAGTTAACATGTTAACATATTTATTTGTATGCTTGAGCTTCAGACCCACATGTATCTTCCATTTTATCTCTTAACCCTCTTGCAGAGTCAAAGCACTCTATTGCAGAGACATTTATTTTGGTTCTTAACTATAAAAATGACATAATAATTACAAGAAAAATATCTTACAAATTCACGGCAGAATCCTCCACAAAGACTCTTTATCATCACCCCTTATTATCTGTCTGTCTTGAAAGCTTTGGAAAAACGATACAAGTCCTATTACTGGAGAAAAGAAAGAATCAGATGAAAGAAAAATGTAAGGTGGCCAAGAAAAATCTTCTGTAAAGTGTTGCTTTTTATAAGTTTTTCAAAATGTCAGGTCATGAAAGTTTTATTATAAACTGGGGAGATATAGCAGGAAAAAAAAAAAAAAAAAAAGTAGACACTTCCCTATCTTATTTTTCTTACAGCCTTTCTTGCCTTGCCTCTTTGATGTCTGAACATTCATGACATTTTAAATCACAGAACAGTTGAGGTTGGAAGTACCTCTGGAGATCATCTAGTCCAATTCTCCAGCTCAAGCAGTTTGAACCTGGAGCAAGTTCTCTAGAATAAACCTAGTTCAAGTTGCTTAGGACTATGTTCAACTGGGTTTTGAATATCTCCATGCATGTAGAATCTACAACCTCTCTGGGGATCGCTTCCAGTGTTCGATCATCCTCACAGTAATTTATTTATTTTTTTACATTTAAATGGATTTTCCTGTATTTTTTGTGTCCACTGCCTATTATTCAATCAGTGGATACCACTTCAGAAAGCCTTGCTCCATCTTCCTTCCTCTCCTTGCATTTAGGTATTTATTCACATTGGTAATATCTCCCTTAAGATTTCTGTTCTCCAGGCTGAACTATCATGGCTCTCTCAGCCTATCTGATGCTTCAATCTCTCACTTATCTTTGTGGCCCTGATGACATGCCTTTGGCCACATCATTTCTAAAATTTCCAAAGAACACTGTCAAAACTGGCTGACTCCAGTGACCTCCAAGTGGTGAACATCTATGGCTATGGGGCTGTGGATGCATAGCTTTTCTGTAACATAAAATAGGGAGGAAGGTCCAGACTCTCCAAGTGTTGAAAGCACCAGCCTGTGGTGATTTCAGTGGGAGGCAGGCACTGTAATACCTGGGCAAATGCAGACCAAAGGTACCTCGCCAGGTATCATCAGGCAGAATTAATCAAATGCTAGCAACATTTTTCTTCTGCATATTTAATGTTTTTATAAGCCTATATAAACTCTAAGCAACTGATTTTTCTCTAGCGCTTACGGAGAAGTTTGCCTCCAGGACTGCTGAGACGAGTGTCCTCCACTTGGACCACAACAACATCAGCCACAGGTTTGCCTACACTGGAACCAGCCCCAGTGAGAAGAGATCGCAGTGCCAGCATCAAACCTCATGAATCATCTTCATCCAGGTTACAGATTACTTCATCTCTCTTTTACAACTGTCTTTGGGCATATTTTTTTTTTAGTTCTGTGCAATGATGTCCGTCATTTAAAAGTGCTGACTCCAAACTATGGAGTTAGAACAGCTCTGTACTGTAGAAAAAGAACTGCATAAGAACAACTTCCACACATCTCCATGAGTTGGGTTACCGAAGAAGTGGCTAAGTGGCTTTCTCAGTTTTAGTCAGATCATTTCCAGTTTGCTTCCTATTACTGGGAAGCAAAACGGAAAAAAAAAACAAACAAAAAAAAAAAAACACCTATTTAAGCTAGAAAAGTGCAGAATTACATAATAAAATTGGAAACAATGAAAGGTTATGTGGTTAAAGTCCTCTTGATATGCAGATTGAGGTTTCCTCCATGGATATTGCTTAGCCAAGAGATAAATCTAACAGGTAATCCAAGTGCTGAACATCACTTTTAAGAAAACACCTAATGATGTGTCCCTGTCAGTAAACCAGTTGATCTCCATCCTCTATAAACAGTAACTTCCAGAACACAAACCCTGATTTAGGGTAGAACTTCCTAAAATATGCAGTTCAGTGCTTTTTTCTCCATACAAATAGTGTCATAAGACCCTACATCACTGTACAAACCCTGCATCTCATGTACATACTTAATTCCAGAATATCATGAGTGCTTAGGGCTTCCTAAATGAACTCATGTAATATAACACCAGCACTGGATGGTAAATAAAAAACATTGAATTAGATAAGTCAAAAAGTGATTTAACAGAAAGAAGGGGGTTTAATCTCTAAGTAGATTTGTTATCATTGCTTTATTTATTTATTTATTTTAAAGTGTAATCTAGGAATAAAATTACAAAGGGAGAGTTACTACCAGAAGATGAAAGCAAAGCTGAAAATGAAAAGGGCAACATCAAGGTTTCCTGCAAGAGCAGGTGCCACATTCCCTAATTTTAAAGCAGCATTTAGCTTCTGGTATTCAGATTGAGATTTTACCATTGTATTGCAACTTTGATATAGAAACAAACTTAAAAGCTAAAGTCATAACTCATGTTTCTGTCAATATGCACAAGACTTCAAATGTTGTTGTTCCACCAGTAGATAATGTTTGAAAATATTCTTAAACCCAACTGTATAATCAAGTTAAAAAGTATTTCCTTATTTTCCACAAGAAGCAAATAAATACAGCTATTTTATAGGGATGCAAACTATCTTCTTCTATTTATGATTTATTCACTAGTTTATTTAAGATGCCTCGTATTTTCAAGGGTTCTGTAAGCAGATGCTGATACTGAGAGAATCAAAACTACAAAGTAATACTTAATAAAGCCTTGAAATGGATTGCAGCAAAATCTCTGGAGGGAATGTACATTAATTGTTTGTCTTGCCAGAAAAAGTTCTGGATTCAATAATGACACGTACTTCATAAGGATATACTGCATTGTAGAAACAGCATTGTAGAAACAGCATTTACTGCATTGTAGAAACAGCAGTAGATCCACAAAGAGGTTTACATGGGCCAAGTTAATGCCTAATTCATGTGCTCAAACCGAAAATTTAGTTCCAGGTTGCTAAAGCATGTCTCTGAAAGTATTCCAGAGTTACCCATAAGCACAATAGTCCTCACTTTTCTGAAACCACGGGTTTTTAGCTAATGGCTATAGTTCCTCATGACTGACTATCTAAATTAGATATTTCCTACGTCCACTCATTCTCTTTTTCTAAGAGCCTAATACAGGAACTAGTACTATAAAATACATAAGCCTCTCATGAGTTTGAAAGAGAGAAGTTGAGCCTGCTTACAGCTGGTAGCAGAGTGGTTTAGTGCATTTGTGGAGAACTACTCTAACCGAGTTGCCTGAGGTGATTTAGACAAAGGTTCCTCACATTTTTGGACTTCCATGCTCCTTCCTTCCCTCCTTCCTTCCCTCCTTCCTTCCCTCCTTCCTTCTCCCCCCTTTTTTTCTGCAATTCAAAATCTGGAGCCAGTAGTGGAGAATACAAAAGGACCTGAAAAGGCCCAACATCCTCAGTGTTTGCTGTTGGATAGCTTGGGTGAATATACCCCTAGAGCACTGTTTTTCTTATACAGGGAGCCTAGGTGCTCAAGGCAGTCTGCAGAGTACACTTGAATGTCTGGTGCAAGAAAAATACATGGCTAGCCAAACTTCCCTTTGCAAGGAGTCCCATGTATCTAAGTAAAAGTAAATATAAAGAAGCTATAACCAAATGGAAATATTCTTCAGTTACCCGTCTGTGGTTCCCAGAGTGTATTTGATTTGTACTCTTGTTCCCAGACTCTCATGTAGTATGTAAGCATCCTAAGATGGAAATCCAAGGGGGAAGGAGAGCTATTAAATATTATTGTTGGTCCTTTTCTACAGTTGTTATATAACTACGCTTGATGAGCCAATGAAGTAGGCTATCAATTCTTCCTACATTTAATGTCGCCAATTGTATAATTATAGCTCTGTCAAGCCTTCCAGCCTACTGTTTGCAGTAGGAGAAACAAAGAATTCTAGAAAGGGGAAAAAATTGAAGCCCATAAGTAAGTCTAGTTTTAAAAATTCTGGCAGACTAATACATATTTGCTTTCAAGGAAAATAATTTTGAACTGAAGGGGAAAAAAATCTTGATTATCTGCCACTTCCTCTGTACCAAATTCAAGCATGCCATAGAACACAGAAAAAGGATCTTTTCATCACTTGAAAGGGATAAGAGGGGGAATAACAGTAGAGTTGATCTGTGGTAGACTCTGCGTTTAGCAAATCTGTAACTTATTCCCCATAGTCTGGAAAATCACCCATAGGTTTTAATAGTCACAGATTTCCAAAAATCACCCTTAAAAATCACCGAACAGCCTTAGGAGTTGGACTCAATGATCCTTATTTGTCCCTTCCTACTCGGGATATTCTATGATTCTGAGAAATCTCTGTCTAAGATTAGGAGTCTTGTCTTCCTGTATCCTTTTGTCACTAAAATGTTAAGACACGGTGCTCTTATAGTTTCTAATGATTCAGGAAAAATAATAAAGCTTCCATATTCCTGTCATCAATCATATCTATATACTCAGTAGATTTCCCTTAAGAAATCAAATAATGGGTTTGGGGTGTTTTTTTGTTTGTGTTTGTTTTTGTTTTTCTTTATGGTGAACCAGTATTTAATATTCTTTCTACCAACTGACAACACCTCACTCCCTCAAAAAAAAAATAATTTTCAAAAGACAACAAACATTTTTGTAGACAGTGCTTGCTCTTCCAAAACAGTGAAGTGTTAGTAAGTTAAGATAATGTTACATACTTTTCTTCTTTCAGAACATGTTTTTTTTTGAAGTTTGGCTAGGACTAAGCTGTTTTAAAAGGCTGTATTCTGCCTTGTATGCCTTCTTATCACTTGATGAGGGAAGGATGCAAGACTGTGAAGAAAAAAGTGGAGACTTAGAGGCCTAGTGGATCTGTGCAGAGAAGTGTTTGGCCTCATGATAAAACCCAGTGCTGCATCATTTCAAGAAGCTGACATTTGATGAGTGCCATTCCATAAACAATGATCGATACAATTCTCTTACTTTACAAAACTATTTTGGCCCTTCCGGTATAAACCTTAAGGCTGAAACCACGCACCCATTTTGTATATAGAACCAACATTTGTTCATCATTGCCACACCCCTTATTACTTCAGAGAGTTTAGCTTGGATCCATGACGAATGTCTGCAGGGTCTGTTGGCAGGGTTTTTTTTTATTTGCACCATGTGCTTAAACTGGTGACAGCATAAAGTGCTTCACCCAGCAACAAGGCACACCACCAGTGGCATCAGTGCAAGGCTCTGCTGAGCCTCTTCTGGCTTCCTGAGGAGCTCTTCTAGTGCCCGAAGGGTTAATGGGTATCTGTCTTCACAGTTGCAGTAGAGACATCGAGGAGACTGATTTTTCATTTATACTGAGAACTTCTGGTACTTCTGGTTGTTCTAAGAAGGCATTAAAAGAGAGTATAAATTTAACATATTTCAAGTCTACTTTTAAGTGTCTTTGTACTGTCAGAACAATATGCCAAAGACATCTTTGTATAAATAATATGAATAGGGCTAAGCATTGAAGGAAGTCCAGCTTTGGAGTGTCTACATTGTAAACATTTTTTTCTGAATACTCCTCACAAATAGCAATTCAGCCAGCAGATAGATGCTGGTTTCGTCCTCAACAATATTTTGCCATCTCAGTACCACATAGTTCTTGCTGTGGCTTCTAATTTCTTCAGATTTTCCCTCTAGGCTTTTCCTATGTCAAACAACACTTGTTTGCACTCTCATTTTACAGCACTGATTCCTGGAACAGCTCCCTTCTGATGACAATCACAAAGAGCCGCTCCTTCTCTACATCTTATGCCATGTCTCCTACCAACCACCTGAATGCCAAAAAACAGAGCCGGCAAGGTGAGTGGGTACCCATGACTTTGTCAGGCTCACTTAGCTCCCAAGGAACTTGGTGATTAGCACATGAAACTGCTTTTGGTCTCTGTGTCCCTTCTTGTTTTTCCATCAGTATGAGTAATTTACTTTATTTAAAAAAGTAGTGACTTAAAATACTGTAACTCACAGTGATGCTATTGTAAATGTTTTGACATTTATGATTTCTAGAGGTTAGTCATGACATGATGTGGAAAGTGTTATACTAAAGCTTGTTGTGATTTATATCCATGCAATTCCAGTGACTGCAATGGGGCTGAGAAAAGAGTTTTTCTATAACATATGTTAAATTAAATGCCTTTGTATTGGCTCTCTGAGATTTCCTACATAAGCCCATTTGGAGCTGAAGGCAGCACATGACCCTTCTTGCACAAGCATGTCCAAGACAAATCCATTATGTAACTCATAGGTATGTCAATGAATGTTCATTATCAAAAAAAAGTTCAGGTAGCTCTTACAGATCTTTAAAGAGAAACGTTTTTTGTTTTGTTTTGTACTTTGTTTGTTTTACTTGGCATGTAGGGCCTTTAAAGAAACAACTTCTCTTTTAAGTGAGAAAAAATGGAGAAGGTGACTTCTTCACTGATAATGGAATGTTCAATAAGACAGTCACGAAGTAGTCAATCTACAGCAGCGTGGTTCTCTTCCCTATACAAGGGAGAGATAAGATAAAATTTACCCATGCTTTAAATTGCAGTTGAAAATGATCACAAGGCCTTCCTTTTTGTTTTAAATGAACTCTTTTTTTTTGTTGTTGGTTTGCTTGTTTCGTTTGTTTGGTTTTTGATTGATTGGTTGGTTGTTGTTATTTGTTGGTTGTTTTATTTTTCCGAACATGGAATAATGCTGGGATACTGTTATTCGGAGCTTCTGGTCACCCAGACATCAGATAGAAATTGATAGATGCCTGAGGCCTGACATTGAAAAATTCAGGGAATCCAAACTTAGAAATTAATTTAAAGAAATGGCTGCACAATTATTCTGCATATCTGGCTCTGTCACATTACATCTCTTTTTCAAACTGAAGAGTCTATTAAATCTCCTCTTGTACAGAATCTGTGTTATGCCATAGTGAAGATTAACTAACCCGGTATTATCTTAAAAGTGTAGCAAGAAGTCAAATTAAAAAGAAATAAAAATAAACTGGAATAATGGAGTTATACTACCAAGAATCCAGGAATTTATTGTAGAACTTAACAAAAGAAATTTAGACTCGTGATTTTCAGAGATGAACCCATTAACTTGGAAAAGCATAGTTAATATTTTCTACCTGGAAAACGAGACTTAGCACACATATCAGTCATCTTCACGTTTCATCTGTTCCACTTTCAGAAAGCATTAATAGCAATCTTTGCTGCCCAAAGATGTGAGCTAACCAATGATGAAGGGAGAGCTCCGTTCCATCACAAGCAATTCTTAGGGGCACCAAATCACAGGAGTAAAAATTTTGGCCCAGATTTTTATGCTGAAGATTGATATTTTGCTTTAAAATATTTACAATCATGCACTTTTAATTATGATTTGTTTTTATGTTTCAATTAAAGAATTGTTTCAATTTGCCATAATTATTATCAATTAAACATTTGTGTATTATCTCCATTGGCAATATATACTAATTCTGCTCTAGGATTTGATCTAATTAAATTTGTAAACCTATTAATTTACAAAATGTGTCTTCAATTAAGTTTGAAAGCTTTAGCATTTTAAAATACTTCTAGCTATACCTGTTTTGGCAAAACTCTCAGGTAAACTCAAATCTAAGTTCATATCAAATCAATGTTAGGAAAGTTGTGAAATTGTGTCATCGTTTAAGTTTCTTGGACTTGCTTTAAATTGTTGAAATATGACCATATATATTTTACTCTTTAACAGTCATAAAGATTACCTGGTAGCATGTACCTCAAAAATAGTTAATAATCCAACTCAATCCCTTGGGCAACTAACAGACTATGGAATGTTTTTAAAAACATATTTTTGTTGGAAGGAAAGCAGATATCTCTAAGGATTAGAAAATCTAAAATAGAAGATATCTGTATTTTAATTACATTTCCACATCATTGCCATTTGATAACTTTTTAATTCCTTCATAGGCTGTAGGTTTCTGATCTCAAAACTTAGTTGCAATTGTTGAATTAAGACAGCAATATATATAATGTTTTCTGAGGAAATTGCCTAATCAAAATGCAGGTGTTGTTGAATCTCAAAGTTATACTGTAGCAACTTCACAGATTATTTTTAACTCTTGGATTGTCAACAGTAAATCATATTTTAAGCTGACATCACGGTAAGTTATCGGGATAAAATGCTGGAACTTTACATGTATATACTGCAAGGTCAGTATTTCATAAACTTAGATCAAAATACGACCTTATTCTAAGTTAATTGTGTCTGGAATGCATTTAGGTAGTGGGCATAATTCAAACATAAAACCAGTTTGAAGTTCCCAAGGTCTTTGTCATTCAGCTCTGAAGATGAGCATGGTAAATGAACTGGAGCTGTGTTCCTTCAAACTTTAGAACAAAGGTCAGGAAGTATGTCAATTTAAATGCATTTCCTTTTAAGAGAGATGTTGTTTGCTCCCCTGTGCGTTATTGTACACTTGGGACCTTTCCATCTGAGACTGGAAAATAGAAGGTGGATTCAAAGAGTAAAGGCATGGGTGTGGTGCTTAGGGACATAGTTTAGTGGAAGGTAGATTTGGCTAGGTTAATGATTGGACTTGATGATCTTAGAGGTCTTTTTCAAATGAAATGATTCCGTGACTCTGTGATCTCACATGTAGAAGTTCTAATAGGAATGGGGGTAAGCGTTTCTTGTCTCTCCTGTACTGGTGGAAACAGTGAAGCAAAGACATTCTGCGGAACAGTCTAGTTGGAGTCAGGTGCCTCTGTCACTAGAATAGTGATACCTGTAGTGATACCTCTTATGCACATCTTTCATTCCATGCCTTTCAGCTAATGTCAGATCTTCAGAAGGTAGAAACAATTGATGATGGAGCTTCATCATTCTATGAAAGCCATGAGTTTGACTCAGAGTAAAGGAGGGTTTTCTCTCTATTTTTCATTTTGGAAGCAATGCTAGTGCCTTCATATTGCAGGAGGAGTATTTATGCATGGTGAACTCATACAACCATCTGCTGCTACTGTCAATTGACAAAGTTCTTCTTTTCTCTTGCCAGGTATCCCATCAAATATCTCACCTCTCACCTCCCCATGCCATTCACCTATTCAGGGAACGCCTGCTACAAGTCCTACCGGAAAAACATCATCTGTGTCATTTCCAGACTCTACAGATACTGACAAGAAGCAAGGTTCAAAGCCACATAAAGTCTTAACTGCTACTCAGAGCGCACCTAGCCTGTCAGACCCTATCATCAGCCCCTCTGTTATCTGCAGCAGGTAAGATGGTAGTTTGACATGAGTTGGATCATTTCACATTGTCTCTGCAAACAAGCTCTTCTGGTGCATATGTAAATTCTCATAATTTGCTGCAGTATTGGTATTTTAACATTATTTAAACACTTTTTAGCATGTGAGTAATTATGTGGATTGATGATACAAAGTGCTTTTATAGTGCAAGACAGTTAGCTACATTTTCAGCTTTTACTCATGTTTGACTAATGAACAAATTCCACATCAATAACTTTCAGATCTGAAAGTTGGATTTCATGTTAACAACTTGAGTTTCTCATGCCATGCTGCTAACATGAACAGTCACAGGCCTAGTCTTTCAAAATGGGGTTTAATACAAAAATCTGACTGCTATGGTTTAAAAGCTGCTGTCCTGTAGCCCTGTGCTTAGTGTCTGTGATACAGGTGTTTTGGCAATGCCTGAAGAGTAAGTGATTTTGAGCACTGGCTCAGAAGGGGTGAATCCTGACCTCCCTAGGGTAATGTCAGGTTATATCCTACTAGGATTTTTTTCAGAAATCATCTGCCAACGAGTTCCTCTGAGTGCTAAGAGTTACAGTAATAGTTTAACTTCACACTTTAAGGCAGACCATTTTTAGATTTGTTAAGTTAGTTTGTTTCTTAGGATGCGTCTTGCTGTGTTGTTTGTGTACAGGACTAGGAAGCCTGTTAAAAACTCATAACCGAGTTTGTAGGCTTACTGTATGGAGCCATGTTCACTGAAATTCAGACTTGGATCCTGACGGGTGTTCTGGTTTCAGTTAGAACAGAGTTAATTTTCTTCCTAGGAGCTGGTAGAATGCTATGTTTTGGCTTAGGATAAGAAGAGTGCTGATAACACCCCAATGTTTTAGTTGTTGCAGAGCAGAAATAAGAACCCTGATCAATGTAAGACTGCTGTAGGTAGTAATGAAATATATTTTCTTGAGAGGTGTAGAATTTGATTTCAATATAATCATTGGTAAATGTTTATTAACATTTATATAGCTAATGTCTTGTTTGATCTGTGGAAGTTGCATAGCATACTTGGGTTCTTAATTTCCTTCTTTTCAAATGCTTAGACTGTGTAAGAACTTCGAGTAGTGACATTGGCTGGTATAGACTTTGTTGTTGATTATTTGAAACAAATATGTTATTTAAAATATTATGGTATAATGACTGCTAATAAAAATGACATCCACTATTATTAATAGTCACTGTCCCTTTAATGTCTGTTGAAAAATCATAACCACTCTCACATTTCTAGCCATTACTATACTGGGATGTCATTTCCACAGATACGAATTGAACCGCACGTAAATAATGCACACTTCAGTAATATAAGCACAATAAAGTAACAAAAAAAACCCACACACATATATATAAAGAAAACAAACAATAAAAAAAATAATTTGGATGACACCAAACTTGGAGGAGTTGTGGACTCGAATGAGGGTGGAAAGGCCTTGCAGAGGGATCTGGATAGGTTGGAGTTCAATAAGAGCAAGTGCCGGGTCCTGCACCTGGGACGGGGAAACCCTGGCTGCACGTACAGACTGGGCGATGAGACGCTGGAGAGCAGCCTAGAAGAGAGGGATCTGGGGGTCGTGGTAGACAGCAAGTTGAGTATGAGCCAGCAGTGTGCCCTGGCAGCCAGGAGGGCCAACCGTGTCCTGGGGTGCATCAAGCACGGCATTGCTAGTAGGTCGAGGGAGGTGATTGTCCCGCTCTACTCTGCGCTGGTGCGGCCTCACCTCGAGTACTGTGTGCAGTTCTGGGCACCACAGTATAAAAAGGACATGAAACTGTTGGAGAGTGTCCAGAGGAGGGCTACGAAGATGGTGAAAGGCCTGGAGGGGAAGACGTATGAGGAACAGCTGAGGTCACTGGGCCTGTTCAGCCTGGAGAAGAGGAGGCTGAGGGGAGACCTCATCACAGTCTACAACTTCCTTGTAAGGGGGTGTCGAGAGGCAGGAGACCTTTTCTCCATTAACACCAGTGACAGGACCCGTGGGAACGGGGTTAAGCTGAGGCAGGGGAAATTTAGGCTTGACATCAGGAGGGGGTTCTTCACAGAGAGGGTGGTTGCACACTGGAACAGGCTCCCCAGGGAAGTGGTCACTGCACCGAGCCTGTCTGAATTTAAGAAGAGATTGGACTGTGCACTTAGTCACATGGTCCGAACTTTTGGGTAGACCTGTGCGGTGTCAAGAGTTGGACTTGATGATCCTTAAGGGTCCCTTCCAACTCAGGATATTCTGTGATTCTATGATTCTATAACACACACAATAAAGAGATGAAATGGCCAAGACAAACTGAGTTAAATTAACAAAAACTGGAAAAGAATTTTTTCATGTTTGCGTATTCACAGTGTAGCTTGCTGGTCTTCATGGTGTGCAGTGCTCTACATTTCCTGTTAAAATAAATAAATAAATAGGTAAATAAGCCTTGCTGCAAAATAATACTAGAATCAGCAAACCTCTGCCACTAACTCCTTCCCCCAGCAACAACAAAAGAGGAAATAAAGTTTCAATGGATTTAGTGCTTTAAATCTGATCTACTCAGGCACCGGCATCAAGACTGAAGTTTTACTTAAGTGAAATGTGGTAGAACAATGGAGTTTGAAGGCTATATTAAACAAGAATGTATACCAAACAATGCTATTAAAATACTTTTTAAGTAATCACTCTTAATTCTGCTTAGTGGATGAGGCAGGGATCCTGTGGAAAAAAAAAAAAAAAGTTAAACAATCCTGTGAAGTACCTGCATATGAAGGGGGATTGGGTTAAAGTTGCATGGGCACATTTACTTCTGACAAAGAGCAGATTTCAAGTGTTCTAACAGGTAGAACACTTTCTAAAAATACCTAAAAAAATTGGTATTATGTATTTATTTATTTATTTATACAATTTTTTATGTGGACTGGACATACTAAATCAGTGAGAGTTTGTATATGTTCTGGAAATGAAGAGGTGCACTCATAATAATGCAGAAACCTTGTAGTATCACAGCCAGACTCTATTTCTCTATAACTTTTACATTTTGACTTGTTATCATTGACCTTATGGCAACCACAAGGAATGTGGGAAAGATTTTTTTTTTCATCTTGTTTATAAACCTGAGTGATATGAGATTTATTTGTTTGGCAGTGCACCATGTGCATCTTTATTTGTGGATTTGTACTGTTATTTTGAATTCTTTCAGGGACATGTTAGGTTTGCAGGGCATACCAAATTCCACAATATGTTTTTGACCCCATCAAAATCATCAGGCATAGGATTTCAGCCATTTTTATATGGTGCACTAACAATGGTGCAAAGTTTCTTATCCAAAATTTGACCAATTTAGATAATGCTATAATTGTTTCTTTATAAAGACTGTTTTATATAGTTTATGCCACAAAATGCTAAGTCCAAACAGATAAAGATATTAAAATGTCAGTTTTTCATGGGAAGACCTGATATAAATCTGATATAAAAGCTAAATGAGGCTTCAGACCTTAATGTCTCTTGTGATTTCATGCTATATCATTCTTCCTTCAGGTCTGAGATTCAATCATATTGGGACATAGTTATTTGAGATATTCCAGCTGGTAGTGAATTAGTATTTAGGGCTTAAAGGGAATAGCACACAAGGAATAAAGAATTTTAGCAGAAGGGAAGAACCGGGCATCGGAAAGGCCTCACTATTGCAATCCCTCCCACAATGTCTTTCCTCTCTGGCAATGATGAAGCAAACTCTGCTAAATGTCTGGATGCTAAATCACCCTCCTCTTGTTCTATCAAAAATGCCCATTTTGGATATAAAATAAATGTCCATTTATGCTGTACATGGTTTGTTGTCACTAAGGTAATGGCAAAACAACTATTTGCATTATTAAATAGGAATGTATTCAAACTTTGAGCAAAGAAGCCTAAGCACGGTTGAGTTCAAAACATAAGATTGTATGGCACTTTGGCAAATTTTTACTGTTTTCTTTAATTCATGTTTATAGTACAGTTGTAGTACAAAGCCAGCTTTTTGTTTGCTTGTTTTGTACTGATAAACTTAGAAAATAAAGAAAAAAAGGTATTTATAAAAGATCACATGGTATAATTTAACCGTTGATGACACAAATTAATGGTGTTAGCCATGTCGAAGGTATAAACCTGTCTTTTTGCATTTCTGACTTTCAGTAAAACTTCAGCTCACTCTTGTAATTTTGTCTTTAGAATGTATGTAGCCTATGCCATAGCTTAAAATGTGTGATGCAATCATATACTGTCAACAGGAATATGTTTTACATAAGACTATCCAACTGTTATGATTCTTTATAAGGTATACGTTTCCTGATGTTGTATTTCAGCTGTGGCAGACCCTATAACCAAATAGAAGCTGGTGATGGGACGCTAGATAGAAGTGATGGTACCACACACTCCCTGAATAGAGCAGGTAATTCTTTGTCAATCAAAAACTCCTCCTCCTTTAAAATTTAATAATTATTCACTGGAAGGGTAAATATGCCTCTGTCTCACAGAAGGAAAACATATGTAGGTGAGATTATTCAAACTGCCTTTGAGGCTTCTTTCCTTTTTGCTTGTTTAAGATGCGGAAAATGCTCATGAAGAATATAGATACAATGCAAAATAAATATGTTTTTCCATATGGTTTTGTCTAACCTTGCCAGTACAAATAACAGTCACCAAGTTTTTTCCTGCTCTTCAATCCCTAATCCCATTTTTCACTCTCTGCAGGATATATGCTTTAATGTCTTTGGACAGATTGTTCAACATTAGACACAGCCAAGCAGCACATATGTATTATGAGTCAGAGATCCTGTTGCTATTATTCAGAAGGTCTGTTCACACAACAAGCTCTGTGATTTGTGTTGTAGATGATCCTGCACAAGCCACTTCTGACTATGAGACCAACAACAGTGACAGCAGTGATATTGTACAAAATGATGATGAGACAGATTGCTCCAAAGAACAGACACGGAAGGGATCCGTGTGTAGGACGTATGCGCCTGAGACCATCATTCTGCATCCCTTGATACCACCTGAGGTAGCTTGTTTAAATTCCACTGTCACCATACACTGAATGTATATGGAAATGAAAAAAAAACAAACACAATCCCAGAGCAATCTAAAGATTATGGCTACGGTTTTAAGCAAAAATTTCAGCAGCTAAACCTTGTAGTAAGAGGTTTAACTGAAGAATTGAAAGGACCCACTGAACTGTGTGAGAGGTCCTAAGCACTGGCCACTTCTGAGACACTAACCCTCTATTTTGATGAATGAATACAGGCTTATAGATCTGTCATTAGGCACTTAAGAAATGTTTGGCTTCTGTATTAGTATTGCCTTTAAAGGGAATAGATTGGAAAGAAAATAAATTATAATCTCAAACTACTAGCATGATGTATTGTCTTCCTGTTCAGCCACTTCAAATTCTCAATGGCCTTGCAATCCTGGCTGATATACACAGTGATTCTTACTTTTAAAGAAATTGACACTTCCCTGAGAGTGCAGCATGATATTATTTTCTTGAACAGAATAACATTATAAGCATGCATATAACTTAAGAACATTGCAGTATGGTGAACATTAACAGGTGCTGATCTTCTTGAAACTGCGGTTACATTCAGCTGTAAATTTGATTCAGAGGTAGAAGGAAAATTTAGGGGTTTGTTTGTTTGTTTTCCCAGCCTTCTGTGGAACTGGATTAATAAATTTTAAGATGGTTTGAGCTCTTGAAAAAAATATTGTAGTCTGTTGAATTGGGGTTGGACATGCTGAGAGAAGATATCCTTCTTGAGATATTTTAGGGTTCACTCATTTGCAGTTTCTTAGTAATAATGAAATGCAATAAAGTGTTTAGGGAAAAATTTGAACAAAGGGGAATGTCCAGTCTTTACTTTGCAGACCTTGAAAAAGAGGTAGGTCTCAGTTTAAGATGGATAATTCTTCTCATGGAACATGTTCCGTTAGCTGTGATACATGTAGATTATAATAAATGTGTCCTGATGCGAAAGGAGAAAGTGAACATTTTTGCCTCTCTACCCCAGCAAATTTAACAATGAAGAAGACAGACTCACTTGGAAATGAATGAATGATTCCCATGAATGAATGAATGAATGTCTCTCATGCCTAAGTTGAGAAAATTATGTTTCATATACAGAATTTCCTCTTCATTCAAGTGAAAAAAAATATATAAAAAAGAGTGACTAGCTGTAGGGCTGGTAGAAATGGGAACATCTCTGCTGAGCTGAATAAAGTACCATTGGCTTAGAAATGATGCTAACATGGCCTTAGTTTTTAACAGCACATTTTTTTCTTTTGCATGAGATGCTTCACAGAACTAAAACTTAACTTTATTTTACTTTCTGCCATAGGACAAGCCTGTGCTCGCTCCTGAGCCTCTGGTTATGGACAACTTGGATCCCCTGATGGAGCAGCTAAACAGTTGGAATTTTCCAATCTTTGATTTGGTGGAAAAAATTGGAAAGAAATGTGGTCGTATTCTCAGTCAGGTAGGAAGGGTATCTCATCTGTGATGACTGGCTTGATTATTGATCTAGAGATATGATTTAGACAAAGTATTTTTATGACCTGTAATCTGTTCATTTGATAAATTATGATCCCTGACACCTAATTCAAAGCTGACAATATGAACTCCTTCTCATTAAATTCCTTACTTTTGAAATCCCATCTCTTTTAATTTAAGAATGTGAAAGAAAACAAAAACAAAGAAAAAAACAAACAACAACAGACACCTATTATGACTGTTACTGTTCACCAATGAGTTTATGTAAACCCTTCTGAATATTCTCTCCTTTCTGCAGCAGTTGTTCTAGTCCCTTACCAAGTACGTAGTGAAAGGATTTATCCTGAGCCCAACATGGGAGGGCTAAACAGTAAAAATACTCAGTTTTGATGCAGGAATATTTTTTTCTATACTGGAGATTTTAGTCAGGCAATGCAAGGCATTATGTCGTGATGAGTGCTGTTTATTGGTATGTTTGAAAATTAACCCCAACGCACAAACACAGAGGTTAGTGGGTCGAGCAGATTTCACTGCAACAAGCTCCAGGGAATGCTATATCAAAATCAAACATTGTTCCCTTTGGGGCTAACTACTATTCAGCTACATTCCATTATCCAGTGGTCAACCAGGAAAACCACAGCATGAATTTAAATTTACTTGTGGTCTGTCTTTTATCATTCTGTAGCTTGGCAAGCAACATCTATGTTTAAGCAGCCTACCAGCTCTCTAGGTTAGTTTTAGACAAATTGGCAAAATGTATCTGGATATGGGTAATGATATACATTCACCGGTGGTTGTTGAGACAACTTTGCAATACTTGGAGAACAAGTGATTAAAAATCCCTTCTAGGTCTTCTTCATCATGTTTTTGTCTAGCAGTAAAGCATCTTACAGAGTCATAAATGAAACATAAGGAAAACCAGAATGCTTTTGATGGCAAAAACAGTAGTTTGAATGAGTCAAACATTCTTCTGTTTTCTTATCGGTACTTCTATGGGTGTTAAGGACTTAGTACTAAGTTACATGGAGTTTTGAACCTCTTGGGACAATTTCCCTCTGCTGCTCACAATTTCCACTAAAGCTCCACACTCTGTTTCCAAATATTTGCTTTTTGATCAGGTTCTGAGCACATTATCACTGTTTCAGTGACACAAAATAAAGCCTGTGAAATATAATAGAGAAGCTTAAATAAATACTATTCAAGATCAAAATTCACTATCTTCTGCAACAGCTGTTTGTATTAACTCTCATTCCTTAAGAGCAGAATGCAGCAAGTCCAAACTTGTTCATAAAATAAAGATTGTTCCTTTAGTTCTTTTCCCCACCTACTCATACATTCCTAACAAAGTAATTTTTAGAAATAAGAAACTGAAACAAATATATATATTTTTTTCCTGCAGCTAAAAGTATTATTTTTCTTGTATAATTTTTAAATCCTGGGATATTACCAACAAAGGACAACAAAAGCACTAATGATTTATTCTCTGATTTTGCTGTTAAGTGGACTCATCCATTAAAAACAATAAGTAAATTAACAAGCTGGGTTAACTATGTTTGCCTTGCTAGGTTAAATTTATGAGATGGAACAAAGCAAAGTTGACACGTGCCTCTAGGGAAGCATTTGGTTTAGAAAGCAAATGCTGGCATAGCATCTTTAATGCTGCTTGAGATGTCTGTTTCTCCTTTTTGTAAAGTTAAATTGATTTAGACATGTAAAGAGACCTTGAACCAGTCAGCAGCCATAAAAGCATGTGTGCAAAATACAGTGGAAAACACTCTAAATGTAGCACTAACGAATATGCATAATAGGGGCTAGGGAGGAATTTACATACCAGTCCATTTCAGAAAGGAACAGCAAAGCCCTCCAGCTGAGCTGCTGCTTCACAACAGGCCATAAACTTAGATAATGTTTTCAGTCACACTTAACTCTCTTTTTACATCTCCTATAAAAACAAAACAAAACAAAAAAAAACTGCAGAAGAGAAACTCATTTGCTTTGAAAAGCAAATAATGAAAGTGAAAAAGGACAGGCTAAAGTTAAGATCTCTCCCCAGCATTTATTGCTAGGTCCATAGGAACAAGAAATGCTGGTGGTGCTCCTACACTGCTTGTACTCCATCATCATCAAGACAGAGTGGCATCACTGCAGTGCGTGTAAGTTGGTCCCTCTGTGATTCCAAGAAGAATACGTAGTCATCATGTATGATTTCTGTAGAGAGAAACTGCAGCCATTACATGGGAACAAGGGAAATCTATCCATGGGGGATGGAATATTCCCTGGATCATTACAGCCGCCCTTGTGAGAAGTTATGTTTGTCACAGCTGGAGACCAGGCATTGACAACTTAAAAGGAACACACGTTTGCAGAAATTACATACAAGAGCCAAAAAAGGAGTTGTAGCCTACAAGCAATGAATAGGGAACCACTAACCTAAACCTCGTACATGTCCTCCAAGATATTTACGTGTGCCTGTAACACCCCAGAGAGGAGCTACACATGAATGATGATCCCCATTTCTAAAAAAAGTTTCCCTTAGAAATCATTCGGGAGAAACACTTGTTCAGGCAGCAGTACTAGAAGTATCTGAGTTATAAATGATTCACTTGAGCATTAGCAGTCATTGCACAGATGAACAGAAAATGGAGGCAGGAGGGAAAAGGCTGTGTGGAGCATTCTATATCAAGTGGCTGGATGCTGTCAGAGCTTCCCCAGGGCTTGCCCCTGGCACTGGAGACCACACCATGGCTGCAAGAACACTGGGGTCAGTCTATGGGATGGTGACTGCAGCATGCAGTTTATAGAGGAAAGATTTTTAAAGTGGAAGCATTTAAAAGTGTTTAATCCAGAGCAATGAATAATAACAACAACAACAATAGAATCATAGAATCATGGAATATCCCAAGTTGGAAGGGACCCATAAGGATCATTGAGTCCAACACCCGGCACCACACAGGTCTACCCAAAAATTCAGGCCATGTGACTAAGTGCACAGTCCAAACACTTCTTAAACTCCACCTGGCTTGGTGCAGTGACTACATCACTAGATGAGTGAAGAACCTCTTCCTGATGTCCAGCTTAAACCTCCCCTGTCTCAGCTTGATGCCATTCCCATGGGTCCTATCACTGGTGACTAAAGAGAATAGATTGGCTCCTTCTCCTGGCTGCCAGGGCACACTGCTGGCTCAGGACCTGGCACTTGCTTGTTAAACTTCATGCAGTTGGTGATCGCCCAGCTCTCCAATCTGTCCAGATCTCTGTGCAAGGCCTTACCACCCTCATCCAAGTCCACAACTCCTCCAAGTTTAGTGTCATTGGCAAATTTGCTCAAAACACCTTCTAGACCTACATCTAAATCATTTATATAAACATTGAAGAGGACTGGCCCTAAAATGGAGCCTTGGGAGACCCCACTGGTGACCATCCGCCAGCCAGATGTGGCCCCATTAACCACAACCCTTTGAGCCCTGCCCGTCAGCCAATTGCTCACCCATTTGATGGTGTTTTTGTTTAGTTGTATGCTAGACATTTTGTCCAGTGGGATCCTATGGGAAACCGTGTCAAAAGCCCTGCTGAAGTCCAAAAAGATCACATCAGCTGGTTTCCCTTGGTCAACTAGATGGGTGATATTATAAAAGGATATCAAATTTGTTAGGCAGGATCTACCCCTCATGAACCCATGTTGGCTGGGACCAACGACGGCATTGTCCCCCAGGTGCGCTTCAGTACCTTCAAGGACCATCTTCTCCATAATTTTACCAGGCACTGACATGAGACTGACAGGCCTGTAATTACCAGGGTCTTCTTTCTAGCCCTTCTTGAAAATTGACACAACATTACCATAGACCATTACCAGGTAAATGACATAAAAAGGACAGAATTTAGCTAACAGCAGTAATTAAATAAAGAAGCTGACTTATGAAAGAAGTTAAGAGGTCATACAGTAATTCTACAATGTCCTGTTGTTCAGCACGTCAAGTTCAAAGTTGCCTTGAATCTTGTCTATTTTGCAGTTCCTCCTGTCTACATTTCTGATCTTTCCTCTCTCCTGAACTCTCCCTCATTCATCCATCACATTCTCCCTTCTGATGTATCCTCTCCTGGATGTCTGTGGTCATCCTGCCATGCATGAACTCGTTGAGCAGCTCTGCCTCCTAAGCTACTTGCTGCCAATGAGATCCTGAAGTCGGTTTTACCATGTCACTGCCAAAATCTGAGTGAGGGAAAGGAGATGATGTAGAGGATCCAAATCACCCTCTCATTTTCTTATTCCTTCACTTGCTTCCTTTTTTTTTTCTGGGAATTGAATTGACTCATGAATACTCCTTGGAAAGGTTTTTGAGGATTTTTTTACTATTATTATTTTTTTTTCACAAGACTCTGGAAAGGAACTCTGGGCACCTTCTTTTATGTATATACGCTTCTGAGGTGCCTGCAAAATCTGGGGGTCCATATGCCTGAAAGGAAGAGCAGAACATTTGGAAGGGTTCAGTGAAGGAATGAAGAGGACTGTTTAGTACTAATAGGTTGTCTGCTTGTCTGTGTAACCACATCACTATGGAAATGTGAGTACCTGCTGCTATAGCTGGATCAGGTGATACACTTGAGAAAATACTGTGAAGAAAGTACATCTACATGGGGTGATTTGACAGAATGAGTTCTGTATCTAATTTTTAGATTCTTTCTTGTCTATTTAGCAGAATGCTGGTTTTCATTTTTTCAGGTATCATACAGGCTTTTTGAGGACATGGGGCTGTTTGAAACCTTTAAAATTCCAGTGAGGGAATTTATGAACTACTTCCATGCCTTGGAATGTGGATACCGGGAGATACCTTGTAAGTAGTAATTCCCAGCAGACAATAGTGCTTCCTTAAAGTTTTGGGTGTTTTCTACACACTTTGTTTTGAAGACTTTATTCTCTCAATATATCAGATTTTTTTTAATGAGATGCCTTTTTCATTAAACCTTCAGATGTGTTGGCTGAGACCAAATTCAAATCATATATTGCTGATATTGATTAATATTATAATTTACCACAGCAAACTGCTTCAGAAGATAATGGTGCAATGTGTAAACCAAAAAAAAAAAAGGGGGGGGGGCACAAAAAATGAAAAAAAATAAAAGTTCAGTAATAATAGCAGACTCTACTCAATGCATGAAAGCATACATGCTTTCTTGAGCACTAACAGAAGAATATTTCTTCAGATTTTTCTTCTGCTGTGTCACTACCAAATGGATAACTCTCTATAGTCAGGGGTTGGTTTTTGCACAACAATTCCATTTGTTCTTTTTCATTGCATTTACTATTTCATGTTGCATAATAATAATAATTCATGGGAAGTGTACAAGCCTGCAGCCATGTGAAAATGTTATACGTACAAAGAGCTGTTTCCTGTGTATTCTTGAATTGCGTATCAAGTGTGTATTCTTGATTATGCAAGTATGCCCCTGCCTCTGATGTGTTATATTGAAACATTTCCCCCTCAGTAAGAGATCTGGATTTTTTTACACAGTAGCAGTGCTATACTACCAAAAGAGACATATTTTGTAAAGCTGAAATATACCGAGTAGCTGAGTGTCTCCTGTTCTTCTGCAATTACAGCTAAGCTGGTATTTTTCAGTGTGAATAATTTATTCACAGAAAAAATTGCTTTCAGTCATTTTTAAAGTATTTACTAATTCAAAAATCAAACTTACCAAACCCCTTCTACTGCAAAAGACTCTTTTTTTCCAGGAGGAGGGAGGCATTTATTCCCCGTTTTAGCTGGCAGATATCTCCTATGCTGAGGAATATAGGACACCCTGTTTTCTCCCACCTCCCAGAAAAATGTCTGAAACATTGGCTTATTAAGGCATATAGTCTCTCTCTCGAAATATTAAATACAAATTGGAACAGCTACAATGTAAGGGATTGAAGGAAAACTGCCTCAAAATGCCTTCAAGCCAGGTGGTTTGGACTCTTCTGGGAAAGTAAGAGACCAAATTCCAAATCTTTCCCTGTGTTTGAATCAGAGAAGGGATTTTAAGCAGCAGATTATAGCCAGAGGGGTTATAGGTGGATGTTCCATAGTCTGTCCTTCCTATTGAAGCTGTTCCTCTTTGTTTTAAATGCTTTACTCATAGGGGCTCTGGATTTTTTGTAAATCTAGCTATTTACAAAAATATAGCCTCCATTTCCTTGATTTTTCTTACGTGTGTTTAATTTTATAGTCAAGAAGAATATTTTGTCTAATACATAATTAATTTACCTTCCAGTTTTTCATTTCTGTGAAGGAGTAAAAACCAAAGCAATTTGTTTTTATTGAACCAGTCTTTTCTCTTGGTTGCTGAACTAGAAAATGAGTTATTCATACAAAATTAACTATGACTATACCTGCTGGATTAAGTTAGTACAATTTTAGAAGACTTTCATCCAGCCTTTACTCCAGAGAAAAGCATTAGACCCCTATGCAGGACCATCCTCTAGGTTTTGCATAAGATTAGTTTCTCAGGATAGATGTTCTTAGTACTTCAAAAAAGGCAGCAAGGAGGAGATCTCTTCCATATTTTACTTTTTTTTTTTCTTTTTTTTTTTTTCAAAAAATATCCATTCCAGTTCTGCTTCCTGTTTTACTTAATACTACTAATAAAAAAGTAGCTAAATATCTAAACAGAGAAAGTCACAGAAGAGCAAGAGATTAAAGTAAGGGGTAAATACAAAGGCCAAGTGGCATGACATCATGCTCACGTTTGGTGAGTAAGCGAAGTGACTGAAAAATGTGAATATAATAAGCCTTTGTGTTACACCCATCTGCCCTTGGTAGGCAGGATTTTAGGCCAATTTTAGAAGTAGACAAAGTAGGCAGTTGTCTTGAGCATCGTAGTCTTTTGTCAGCAAGATGGCGAAGCTCTTCTTTACACCTCCTATGCCAAAACTGAGCAAATGCAGGCAGACAGCTTTTGCCCCACTGATGACAAGGGTTAGAAACATGGTAGCAGCATTGCTTCCCTGGAGGAGGCAGATTGCTGCTCCCAGCAGGAAAAGGAAATCATCCATCCCTCAGCAGTGGCAAAGCGACATATCTGGCTCCCTAGGATGCTTTCTCCATTCCAGCTCTCCTCCTTTCTTCCTGTTTTCCCACAGAAGGGTGGCTTTAGCATGAAGTTCAGCTTCAGTGCTAAGAAACTCTCTGTCAGCTGCATACTGCCTGTCTTAAGGATGAGGCAGGTATAAAACCAGGTTGCTTACACATCTTGCTGCCAGACCATTCTACGTCCTGCAGAGTACAGAGTTTTTGTCACCTTCTCCTGTGAGTTATGTTGATGGGGGCAACCCAGTGATGGAGTACCACATTTCTGTGCTTTGGCCTCTGAAATGCATATTTCCAGAACTGCAACAACGGTAGCGTAGCCACAAGTTAAAATTCAGATAAGCAGATTGCTAGCAGCATTAGTTAGTCACTGTAAAATACACCTATGCTCTGCACAAAATTAGCCTGAATCACAAGCTGAAATACTTCTCTTTCAGTGGTTCTACTCCAGATGTAAGTTTTGGTCCTCATGCAGCAAAGTGTTACTCCTCTTTCAGCATCATGTTTGCTTTTGCCAGTGTATGTTTAGATGATACTTTGTGCTGAACTAGTGTGTGATTCCTTTTTCAGCCAGTTGTGTTGATTGTAGGATAGTTTATCTGGCCTTGAAAGATTTGGTGGGAAGAGCCTTGGAGTGACTTTTATCTCTCATTTCTGCAAAGACAATTTGTAGCAAGCCAGATTACAGGAGTCAGGGCCTAAAATCTTATCCCTGGCCAGAAAGCTGCAGAAACAACTTGTTTTAACTGTGCAGTGTACACATATCCTGAATTTGACTTTGCAGTGAAGCCATTAACACAGCACCAACATTCGCTCAAGTAGAGTCAGGTAAGTCTTATCTGCCTTGTGTATAGAAGTTGGGAGAACCATCTGCTGAAGCAGATGGGGTTTTCCTAATGATTTCATTTGAATCAGAGGTTAACAACAGATATTTAGCCTATGACATTTAACAAGTGAAAGGCAACCACTGGAGTAAAGGAAAGGAGCTGGAAGTGCGGGTCAGACTCCTTGCTTAATGCTTTCTTCATGAAGTTTCCTACAGTGCAGGTACCACTGCTTTGCTGTTGTTTTTGTCTTTTTGGACAGGTGTGAGACTTGCTAATGAATTTGCTTGAGCCATAGTGAAAAGCTGAGCATTTACATTTTACAGATGGTTTTCATGGTTGTGATACCATTTGATTTGTTTCTGCTCAATTGACTGTCATGCAGTACCCACTAGATGGTGCTGATTTCCCTCCGACGGAAATACTCATGTTTAATAACAAGGTCATTTGCTTTGTATCACAGATCACAACCGAATCCATGCAACTGATGTTCTGCATGCCGTTTGGTACCTTACTACTCAGCCCATTCCAGGACTGCCAACTGTGATTAATGATCATGGGTCAGCAAGTGATTCAGGTATATTTAAATATGCTACTGTATATGTTGTATTTTTTAAGCTTTTGATGTGAAATTTGCTGGAAGAAAGCCCACAGTTCAGAGTTCAGTGCAGTACTTGCTGCTATAAAGACTTTTAAATTCAATAGCCTGTTGAATGCTGCATGTATATTTGTATAACATTGAAGAGAAGGTAGCTGGTCCTCTAAAACCTAATATTCTACATTTAATGTGTGAATGGAAACCTTTGTGGTCACCCATAATAGCAGATGTTTATAACCATTTGTTTTTTTCAATAGTTTTTCTTCTAGGAAACTGTGTTAGGAGTGCTTTCTAGTGCTGCTACAAGAAACAGTGTAGACTTTTTATTCCTCAAATCCTGCATTGTTTTGCTATTATGAAACTACTGGGACATGCAGGTAGTGGCATGTACTGCTACTGCTTGGCTGTTGTGAAGTGTTTCTTTGCCATTCCTCACTGTCTCCAAAGAAGAAGAGTTGTTACCACCTTGCAATTAGTTTACAAGTCTGCTTGTAAAGTACAAGTCTACATTGTCTGCTGTTTTATGATTGCTACTTACAGGAAGCTCTTATTGCACATTTATATTAACTTCACCAGTCTGAGCTATAGCAACTAGAGGACCTATCTGTGTTTTGTGGGGATTCTGAGGGAGCTGTTGAAAAAACAGGAGTTTGGTCAACAGAGAACGTTTCTACTTTGCATGTGTGTGCATTTGTGTGACATTAGAACATCATTTGTGAAACTCTTCAGGATATTTTGGTGCTGGGAAAGGTTGCTATTCCTGGAAAATTTTGTCACTAATCATATCAGCAAATGTTGGAGGCTTTGTAGCTGAGGTGAACTGGGTGGAATGAAAGGACTTGTGTTTAGGGGCTTTTGATGTTTGTAACTTGAAAGATGTTTCCATTTGCATGCAAGTTCCATTCAGTACATCTCCTTCAAAATCTGCCAGTGGCATGTTCAAGCTGATTCAAAAAGAGGCTGGTAAGAGAGTTATTATCAAAAAAGTAAAGTCTAGACGTTGGGTTGAAAAACATGCACCTATACCAATTAAATTAACAAATGCTATTCCACTACTTTAAGTACTGATAGTATTTCATAAATTAATCTACATGATGAAGCACTTAGAGGAAGGAATGCGAAGACTGAGTTACTCACAAAGCTAAAGCATGTCTGTTGGCCCATATCTTATTGTTAATGCTTTATGTAGTTTGAGACCAGGCTCTGCTGGATGGCTGGAAGTTCCCTGGGGGATCTGAAATTGTTCTTTTTCAGCAGCATGTCTTATTGTACTGGGTCATGTACATAGCATCATAAAGTGTTCAGCACAGGACATGTTTACTCTTCAGTTAGGTACTATGAATCCTCCACTCCTCTTCCTGCTTTGCTGCTCCTATCTGTTTCAGTAAGTCACTGAAAAGGTGATGAGAAATTTTTAAACCTATTTATTTCTGCTCAGATTCTGACAGTGGAATCACTCACGGCCATATGGGTTATGTGTTTTCGAAGACATACACACCTACAGATGACAGCTACGGATGCCTAGCTGGCAACATCCCAGCCCTTGAGTTGATGGCTCTTTATGTAGCTGCAGCCATGCATGATTATGACCATCCAGGAAGGACCAATGCCTTTTTGGTAGCAACAAGTGCTCCTCAGGTAAATAAATCTCAGGCAGTGTTGCTGCCAAGTTTGGAAGGTCTATGGTAACAGCTTCTACTTGTCAGTGATACCTGAGGCTTACATTAAGCACAGTTATACCAAATATTTTGAAATAGCTTATCAAAGTGAAATAAATAATCACTTGGGGATTGCCAGTGAGTCTCCTTACACACCCTCACTACACTCAGGGAGAGTGTTAAGAAACGCATAGATAAAATGTCTTTGTGAAGGAGAAGCAAATGTTCTGCTGAATGTTGCAGAATCTATAACTGTTTGTGAAATTAAGGGAAATATTACTGTACACAGTAAGGCATAGAAAGATTAAAACAAACAGACAAACAAACTATGTAGTTTCCAGTGCACCATGCAAGTGAGTTTGAGCACAATCATAACATATATTTTCTGTTGCTCCTGTAGTATATGAATTGCTGCAGTCTTCTATGAATGTACCTTTACACTATGACTCTACCAGGGGAAAAAACCATCTCTGTTTTACAAACGAATAATTGAGACTTAACTAAGATTACACAGAAGTTGCTGCCAATGCTGGCAGTTGAATTCAGTGATTCTGAGTCACTGTTTATTGGCTTAATTATGAGATCATCTTTCCTTACTTTGCATAGCTGACCTGCCTGGCTTCAGTATACTCTGCTGAAAGATATTTCTGTGCAGAAAGAAAGAACAAAAGGTGTTGTAATGATGAGAAGTTGGTTAGGGATGCAGAAATTATGGATTTACTCCCCACCATGGATACAGAATTCGTTTCTTAGCAAAAGGAATTTTTTGGATCCAGAATTCATTATTATTATATATTCATTCTTATCCACTCTAGCTGAATAAATAGACTGATGGAAACTACTATTCCTGCCAAAATAACATTTGAAACCTCAGGAAAATCTTGAATAAAAATGAAATCAACCAAACCTGAATGTCCCTCATGCATTATCCCCACATCTTTCTTATTTCTGTAGTTGTGGTGTTTCTTTTGCTGAACATCTGCCCATGTTGTTTTCACAGGCAGTGCTGTACAATGACCGCTCCGTTCTGGAGAATCACCACGCTGCTGCTGCCTGGAACCTTTTCATGTCGAGGCCAGAATACAACTTCTTGGTCAACCTTGACCATGTGGAGTTCAAGCATTTCCGCTTCCTCGTCATTGAGGCAATTTTGGCTACTGACCTGAAAAAACACTTTGATTTTGTTGCCAGATTCAATGCCAAGGTAACAAGATTCATTTGGGTTTCTGGTGGATAGTCAGAAAAGTTTCCAGGGCTTGGTAGCATCACAGTGAAATGATTAAAAATGCTGCTGTGTTGCTTTTACTTCCGAATGGCCTCTCAGCTGCTGTAAAACATTCTGATGAATATTAATCTGGCATTTCTTTTACCTATTTGAATTTAGTGTCACAGCTTCTTTTCTTCTATATGCTTGTGTTTTTCAGAAGTTGGTTTAAAGCAGTATTTGTTGTCTTGTTGATAACATAAAAGCAAATTTAGAAAGGCTACTTTGCCCTGTTGAGGATATTATGTAATATAGGACAATTTGATGAAAATCCCAGTTACATTCTACTTTTCAATATTGTTTTCTTCTCTGCTGGTATTTTAGACATTAGCAAAACACTGAAGGGGAAAAAAAAAAGAAAAAAAAAAGAAAAAAAAAGAAGAAAAAAAAAGAAAAAAGGAGAGGTTTTACCAGATTTCCCTAATGTCTAAATACTTAATGTGACTCTTTATCCGTTTAATTGTACTGTTCTATTAGCAAAACACAGATATAGTATGACTTTGAAATTCTGATCTGAAATGCAGTAAAAGATCTTTCTTTCCTACTTTGTTCCCAATGGGTAAGCCCCTGAGGAAGGTCAGTAAAGATCTTTTCTTTATGCTCAACTCAGTGAGTATAAAATCACAACCCTAGGAACCTATTTTTTTAAAAAATATTGTACAGTTTCATCTAGTTTCAATTTATTGGAAATTACTATTTATAAGTTTATTTTAATAAACTCCATCATCTATCCAAGCTGTAGGTACATTACCTGGATAATATCTGCTTGGGAGCTGATATTGCCTACTTGTTCTTTGTATAAAACCAAACACCTCCTAGCTGTTTTAGTTTCATATGTTTTCTTGAAGTATTGCTTAAGATGGACCTGTATCCTGAAAGTCTGAAGCCTACAGATGTATGACTGGTTTTGTTTTCCATTACCCTAAAAGATATCTCTTTGTTCGGCTCTAAGGAGCTGTAAAGAAAGGCCTTAAATTATGGTCCAGGGTAGACAGAGAACTGATCTGAAGATCCATGGAAGTCTTAACTCCTTAACTTTTGACCCCTGTTAGACATGTCCCACATCGTTCCTGGTGATATCAGAGGGGCTTCTTTAGATCTTAATTTTAAACCCCAATGCCATTTTCACCTGTCTAATTTCCTCTTAAAGTATCGAACTTACTGGCAGATTCTCAGCTGCTAGGGCTCCCATGACAATAAAACACAGTAAATTCAGGCTGTCTGAATAAATCCTTTGCCTATGACAGTTTGGACCAAAACCTTCACTTCTGTGAAAGTAAGTAATATGAAAAAAAAAAAAAAAAAAAAAGAAGAGGAGAAAGTGAAAACATTAAGCAGTATTTGTGGCTGATCCTAGCTTTCCCTGAGTCATCACTGTCTTAAAAAGAGATTATTTACACTTGGTTAGAAAAACTTCTTTTGTACCAGAGTGGCCTCCGAGAGCAGACCTCACATTTTTGTATCTGAGTTTCTGCAACTTTGATAAGCTGAGCTATACATGATTATGTTATTGATTGAGTTGCTGAATTGTAGTTTAGTGTATTGACCACAGTCAGAGAGACTGTAGAAGTCAGTGTAAGCACATGTAATATAATCATCTTCCTACCAGAAAATCTTGCAGTCTGGAAAGTACAAGAAACAATGAAGGAAACTCACTGTCTGTCACTTTGGTGATATCAATGCATCAGAGCACTTACTGTCTGTCCTCTGACACTAGTTATGTCAGATCATGTATACTAAAAGCATAGCCCTCAACGTTGTGGACCTACTCCTATATGAGACAGGGGACTTGGTGACAGAGGACACGTAAGTTTTGTCTAGTCATAACACAACTTCCTATCCATTTTCAACTACTGAAAACTTGAAAATTAAAGCTGTGTTTCAAGAAGGGATTTGAATTTAAAAAGTTAATTAGACAGTAGAATAAAGTCCCTCCAACACTTGGAGATGATTTAGGAAAAAAACCTGGGATGGGAAAATGTGGCTAATGACAGCAAAGGTTGGTATCACTGACCATTGGAAACGGCCAAGGTCCTCAATGCTTTCTCTGACTTTGTGGGTAAGACCTGGCTTCAGGAATCCCAGATCCAAGATATGTCAGAGAAAGTCAGGAACACTGATGACTTATCTTCAGTGAGGGAACACTGTAACAAACTCTGCATATACAAGCCCATGGGAGATGCAGAGTGTTATGGGGTGACAGGGCAAGAGTCAAGGGGTACAAATGGAAACACAGAAAATCTCATTAAAAATAGGAAAGGCTTGATTTACTGTGAGAGGAGTTGTATACTGGAAAAGGTTACTCAAAGAGGCTGTGGAGTTTTCCTCTTACTAGAAATACTCAAAATCCAACCGCTTGCGATCTTGAGCAGCGTCTAATAACTGGCCCTGCCTTGAGTAAGGGGATTGGACAAGTCCAGAGGTGCCTTCCAACCTCAGCTTTTCTGTGATTCTTTGAAGGTTATGCTTTGATTTTAAGGCAGTTGATAGCCTATATCACATTTCATTGTGGAAGGTATGGGAAAAATTGAGAAAAGGAAAAAAAAATGAATCCTGTCAGAAAAATTTAGATGAAATAGAAAAATAGACCTGTTACATGCATCTTCATGCTATAATAAAATCAGCATGTCATTTAATGGCAATTTATTTTTGTGCACAAATTAGGAAGTAATTTCTTGGAAAATGTCATGGAAAGGTTGCATTTTTTTTTGTTTTCCCAGTAAATGCTTTCAGACAGACACATTATTTGCTAAATATTAATTTCTCATAATATATCTCAATGTTCATTGTTTTTCACTTATTTTTCTTTTTATAGGATGATATGCAGGTAATTGTAAATTTCAACTTTAAGCTATCTCACCTGCTTACACTTGTGATTTTGTCAAGTAACTGAACCACAAGGTGTCCCAGGGCAGAATTTCCTCTGTGGATACATTCTTATTGAGCATTACTGTCAAGGTTTTCCTTTCTCTGCCTCACAGGTGAATGATGACGTTGGGATTGACTGGACTAATGAGAACGACCGCTTGCTGGTTTGCCAAATGTGCATCAAATTGGCTGACATAAATGGGCCTGCAAAATGCAAAGACTTGCATCTGCAGTGGACAGAAGGCATTGTGAATGAGTTTTATGAGCAGGTAAATAAATCATGTCCAAGGTGGTATCTGCTGGTTGCATGTTGTGGGCTAAACAGTCCTGCAGTGTGCTAATGCATGATGAGTGAAAATTGCAGAGAACAGGGCTAAAGGGAATGCCTAGAGTTCAAATTAGACCATTTGTTTGCTGGATCGGTGATAGTCCATATGGCACTCAAGCTTCTAATTTGTCCTCAAAGACATCTGATGATGGGGTTTTGTACAGGCTTAGCCAATCTAGTCTGTCAATATCCTTACCAGATACATGGTGAACAAGTTGTTCTTTTCCAATTTTTTTCTGTTGGCTTGTCATCCTTCTTTCAGTGTTCTTTAGTACAAATGATCTTTTCATCCTTTCTTCCATATCTTTTCAAGACATCTACTGGTTCTCATTGCTCTTCTCTGCAGTGACTCCAGGTGGCTCACACTTTTGTTGACATGTGCTCTCCAAAACTGGACACGACATCCTTATTGAGATGATCTAAACAAAGAAGAGGGGTTATTTTAGTTTCCCCTTGGACCATGTCCCTGCGTGCACACACACAGAAAACCTTTATGTAATGAATATGAATGCCATTGTAACATTGTTGACTTTCAGTTTATTACAGACTTAACTATATCTGCTCCCTACATGTTGATTCTAGCTCATACTTTTTTTTTTCTTTTTTTTTCTTTTGACATCACTTTCAGCTTTCCAAAGGTTTGTTAGTACAACAGCAATAATAAATGCAAGACTCAGCTGATGGTAGCACAAGGAAGAAGCAGACACAGACTGATTTACAAAGACCTGGGAATATAGCCAGGCACTGGTGCTCTCCTGCCAGGTATAAGGGTGCTCTTAATTGAAACTTTTCTCGTTATAATTTATTTAGGCATGCTGAGTGCAAGAGACAGAGCTGTTCCCAGTGGAAAGACATTTTGTTTCCTGAGTGGAAAGACATTTTGAATGTGCTGGTTAGACTGAACTTCACATCATGTCTTTTCAGGAAGAAGCATGCAGGCTAAATCACTGGATCAGACACTGGATAGTCTTCTAGGAGTGGGCAGACTGACTTAAAGTCATAGGATAACCCCTTTTAAAGTTTTGTCATCTTCACTCAAATTTACTGTACTTAGAGTTTGGAAAAATTAGGATTTTCTTCTGCTGCTGCATTCTGGAGTATGTAAAGAAATGGAAGAAGGGTCAAAATTAAGACATTGCCCTGAAGGTCCTTCATTTCTTTAAACAGTCCTGAGGAAAAGAAAGGGCTAAGATTCTTATATATATTACAAATATGGTTAGTTCAATTTTTATTTATTTTTTTTTTCTTTGTAGAAGAGAATGAATCCCATAACAGAAGCAATTAACCTTCATCTCCCACATTTTCTTTCAGGAAATGCTTTTCTTTGCTTATTCCCATTAAAGTTCTTCCAACAAATTGTACTTCACCTAATTCTGGTGATGATCATAGCTTATGTGTGTGACCACTGCATGCAAACAAAACTTGGTAATCATGTATATGATATGACTTTTCTTTGGTCCATAATAACGAATTTCAGAGGGCAGTAAGTGCTCCAATACAGTGGTATCATCAGAGTGTCAAAAAGTGAGCTCTGAGTTGAGCTTGGGAGAAATATGTATGAGAGGATGCTGTGTTATCTGTTCCACAATAAAATCTATGTTGTTGTCCATCAGTCAGAAAGGTATGCTATTAATATTTTTATGCTCTTGGAAGGTGCTCCAAAGGACTACTGCAGATAATTTTCTTGTAATGCTGTAATTAAAAATAAATAAACTTAAGATTTATCTTCTCTGCAAATTTTGATTCAGAATAGCACAATTGTTATCTTCTTTACTGACTTTACTTTTAGTATGGGAACTGTGGGCAAAAGTCTTTGAACCCTTCATCTGCAAATTACAAGACATTGGGTGGTCGGTATGATTTTGTTGTTGGTGGTGGTGGTTTGTTTTAATAAAAGATGTATATTCACTATACTGAGAAATCAATATGTACTGTTAGATTTTCTGTTTTGTCTTTTGCCTGACATGAGTTGCCATCCTGACAGGATATTGGGACTTATGAGAAAGCTGTAGAGGGACTTTGTCAGGAAGTGTACTGCCAGGAAGTGTAGTTAATGGTTTTAAACTAAAAGAGGGTAGGTTTAGATTAGATATAAGGAAGAAATTCTTTACTCAGAGGGTTGTGAAGCACTGGAACAGGTTGCCCAAAGTTGTGGATACCCCATCCTTGGAAGTGTTCAACGCCAGGTTGGATGGGGCTTTGGGCAACCTGATCTGGTGGGAGGTGTCCCTCCCCATGGCAGGGACGGCTGGAACCAGATGGTTGTTAAGGTCCCTTCCAACACAACCAATTCTGTGATTCTATGATGGGGCTGAAAACAAAGAGCATATTCTTCCTAGGACCTACTTTTGACATTAATAACAATAAGTTAGATTTTCAATTTATTTAACCTAGGTTAAAACCTCACTTTCTTTAATGAAATATACTATATATGTTGTATTAAACCATCTTCACCATGCTTTTGATCATCAACTTTCTTCTGAGTAGGGAAAAGCATTATTTTTCTCACTTCTGAAGAGGAAAATTTTATGGGAAGTTTGAACTTCCCCAGAACTGTTGTTATCAAAAAGCATACATTCAGCTTTTCCTGTGAGAATAGTGAAATATTTTTCTTGGGTTTCCTTTAATAAACACTGATTCCTCTGATGAATTTAACTCCCATAAAATAACAAGTGTATTGCATATAACTGTTGAAAAACCTGTACCATATTGTTACAGTATGTTTCATTTTTTCCCTCCACGTGTTCAGTATATTTATTCAAAGTTAGGCTAGATTTACATTAAAAAGAATCAAAAAATGCGCTGCAATATATTTCACATAATAAATCATGTTTTAACTGGACATGAAAAAAACTTATAAACATTTCAATACTCAGCTTTCTTTCCACTAGCGACAACTTACAACTATGAAATCTCAGATATGTTACTATGAAGAAGAGGGAGTTGCCACTTCTTTTAAATTTGCTTGTTATTTCAAGGATGGATGACATGTTTCAGTGTTTTGTTAAGACTAATATTCTGCATTTAATGATTGATTATAATGTTTTTGGTAGGTTATGATAAAAATAAAAAGAACAAACCACAAGGAAGTGAGATGTTTGTGGTACACGCTTCAAAATCGAACTCTCACTCATTGACTTTCCAATCTATCAATGAGCTGTTGACCAGATAACATTGTCTCTGACTTTTGGAAAATTTAGATTGCCAGAAAATAAATTCAGGCAACATGTAAATTCATGGAAAGTGAATATGTCTGCCCAGATCCTAATCTGTATTCTCAAAAAATAGATCTCCATGTTGCATTAATGTCTTAATTTGCATAATAGGTTTGATTAAAGGGGTGGGGGTGGGGGGGTTGTTTGTTTGTTTGTTTACTGGGGAAGTGGTAATCAGTCTTGACATGTCTACTCAGCTGAAAACTCGCTGATATCACCAGAGTCTTTGCTATGATAGGGGTGAGTGAGAATGTCAGACTTTGTACTTAAAGAAAGTTCGACCTTTTTCACATCATGAGAGGAGGCAAATAAGTCTTCCTATACCTCCTCTCAGCCCTCTCTCCCCAAGAAAAGATAGCAAAAACCTTTATGGGAAAGATTTACTGCTTCTGAGTTATGCCGACATTGATGGGGATCATTCTAGAATTTCCAGAAAGCAGATAATTATGACCCAAAGCCAAAAGGAGCTCTTTGTTTTAAGAAATAAGGACAAAATCCATAAGAAAACTAGGTCAATGAAACGGCTCTGGCTTGCAGCAATTCAGTCTTGTCCCCTGCAAACAGTTGGCTGAGTACAAGGAGAATAAGCTAACAATCACAAAATCAGAAAACATTTCTGAAAATAATGTAAAGAAAGAAGGAAATCATCAGTTTTCAAACTTTCAAACTCAGTGCAAAGTACAGGACAATGGTGATGGGCATCATTTAGAGCAGTGATCACAGTAACATTCTTGTTAAATTCACCCTGTTGGTAGTGGGTCCTCTTACAAGAAAAGAGCTGTAACTTCAATGAATCATTTGACATGATGGCACTGTAATAATGTCATGTTGGCATGGTATGGAAGTGGCATTACAGTAGAACTATTTCTCTTTCATCATTTTTAATTGGTTTGAAGTGCATTGCTCCTTTTCATTACGCGTTTTTTCTTTCATTCACTTAAGAGAAATTACTGCTGTTTTTCTTCTCCAGGGTGATGAAGAGGCTAGCTTGGGCCTTCCTATCAGTCCTTTCATGGATCGCTCTGCTCCTCAGCTGGCACACCTCCAGGAATCTTTCATCACTCACATTGTGGGACCACTATGTAACTCCTATGACTCAGCAGGGCTGATGCCAGGAAAATGGATAGAAGATAGTGATGAATCAGGAGACACTGATGAGCATGAAGAGGAAGATACAGCAGAAATGGAAACGTATGAAAATGCTGAATCCAGTAAGTTACTCACACTTATTTTTTTCAACAGAAAAGTTCCATATTGTGACCAAAAACTAAGAAGTCATATTGTAAAAGCATAGAGACCATGTTCATGTTCCGTGTAGACCTCTCCGGAGTTAGTGATTCAGTGCTGTCCTTGGTGAAGTTGTCACGAGGTTAGTCACATTGGCACTCCCTTCCCTGTATCTCATCTGTCTAGAAAGCACCAGCCTTTATTGCCCTAGTGATACATAGCCTTTTCTCTAACAACCTAAACTTTTCTATTCTTCCCCAAATCGTTCCATGCCCAAAGTTCAAAGTAAACATTAAATAATATAGTGTGCACAGATTTATTTTAGTATCCACCAGCTCTACAGGATCATCTCTCTAATAGCAGACAGAACTACAGGTTTCTGTGGCAGATTCACATTTATGGAATTGTCTACCAGATGGAAAGCTATGAGGTTGATAACCAACAGAGACCACAAAGCATTGAAACTGATGTTTCTGTATTAAAAAGAAAGACGAAGGATGTTCTCACTTATCCATTCTAGGGTCTGGCCTTACTTTTAAATTCTTAGTCACCATTCATCTCATTGCTGTATTGTGCAATATTCTGTGTCCCTGCTAGTCAAGTTCAACAATGCTGTTTTTAAGTTTAAAGCACGGGCCATCATTAACACTTGCCATACTGAAAACCAACCATTTTTAGTCATCTGTTTCCTTTTCCGTTTTTCTTTTCATAGAATCATATCATAGAATCATAGAATGGCTTGGGTTGGAAGGGACCTTAAAGATAATCTAAATCCAACACCCCGGCATAGGCAGGGATGCCACCCCCTAGATCATATTGGCCAATGTCCCATCCAGCCTGGCCATGAACACCTCCAGGGATGAGGCATCCACAACTTCTCTTGGCAACCTGTTCCAGTGCCTCACTACCCGTACAGTGAAGAATTTCCTCCTAATGTCTAGTCTAAATCTACCCTCTTTTAGGTTAAGACCGTTCCCCCTGTCTTATCATTACGTGCCCGAGTAAAGCGTCCTTCTCCATCCATAAAGACCCCTTTATGTATTGAAAGGTCTAAATTAAGAGTCTGAATTGAAAGGTCTCACTTGAAAGGTCTCCCTAGACCCTTCTCTTCCATAGTAGAGGTGCTCCAGTCCTCTGATCATCTTTGAAGTCCTTCTCTGGACTCACTCTAACAGGTCCACTTCCTTCTTGTGCTGGGAGCCCCAAACCCGGATGCAGTACTCCAGGTGGAGCCTCACAAGGGCAGAGTAGAAGGGGACAATCGCCTCCCTCGACCTGCTGGTCACACCTCTTTTGATGCAGCCCAGGATGCAGTTGGCCTGTGCTGCATGCACGCAGTGCTGGCTCATGTTGAGCCTTTCATCCACCAGAACCCTCTAGTCCTCCAAGTCTTTCTCTGAATGGCTGGTCTCAGTGATTTCTCTCAGGCCATACTCCTGTCTTGGAGTGTCGTTACCCGGTTGCAATACCTTGCACTTGGACTTGTTGAACCTTACGCAGTTCACGTGGGCCCACTTCTCCAGCCTGCCCAGGTCCCTTTGAATGGCATCCCTTCTTTCTTTGGTATCAACTATACCACTCAGCTTGGTGTCATCTGCAAACTTGCTGAGAGTGAACTCAATCCCATCATCTATGTCATTGATGAAGATATTGAAAAGCACTGGTCCCAAGACAGACACCTGAGGGACACCACTCATCACCAGTCTCCATCTGGACATAGAACTATTGACCACTACTCTCTGAGTGCAGCTGTCAAGCCAATTCCTTATCTACCAGCAGGTCCGCCCTTCAAATCCATATCTTTCCAATTTAGAGATTAGGATGTTGTGTGGGACTGTGACAAAGGGCTTACAGAAGTCCAAGTAGATGACATAAGTCAGTCTTCCCTTGTTGACTGATGCAGTTACTCCATCGTAGAAGACCACCAGATTGGTTAGGCACGATTTACCCTCGGTGAAGCCATGCTGGCTGTCCCAGATCACCTCCTTGTCCTGCATGTGCCTTAATATTGCCTCCAGGAGGATTCATTCCATGATCTTCCAAGCACAGAGGTGAGGCTCACCAGTCTGTAGTTCCCCAGGTCTTCCTTTCTACCCTTCTTAAAAATGAGAGTGATCTTCGCCTTTTTCCAGTCACTGGGGACTTCACCTGACTGCCATGATTTTTCAAATATGGAGAGTGGCTTGGCAACTACATCAGCCAACTCCCTCAGAACCCTAGGATTCATGATGTTCTACCTCATTATAATATTTTATTATTCAAGCTATTGCTTTTATGTTTTTTATCTTTTTCAGAAACTTAAAAATGAAAGTATCAAAAGTTTTGAAATACCCAAAGAAGTTCTTCCTGCTTCCTTCTTACTGAATGTGAGGTGCTCATCTCAGTTATACCAACATATTAAAAACTGTTCTCTTCTGGTTCCCTCAATTCTCTGTGACTATATGGATCTGCATTAGGAATCTACAGAATCTTTTGTGTAGATATAGAGGTCTTAAAAGTTATTAGAAATTTGTTCCTATCATCAACATAGTTATGGATGTTCTAAACTTTCACAAAACTTACAAATGAAAGGTTGAGATGTGAGATACATAAATACTATGTGTTGTGGAGATGTTGGTAGAGATGTTTTTCTTGATGGAAAAAAAAATAGGTAGACGGAAATATATAGTTGTTGCAGAAAATGTAGCTCCTGATAATTCACTGAAACAGCAGAGATATATGTAGAGTTATGAAAATTTAAGGTAGCCTAAAATTGATTTATTTTGTTACTATACAGGAACATGTAATTTTCTCAAAGTTCTGTTGTAAATATAAAAATCAAACAGTCTGTAGTGATTCAGACAAATTTTATCACCACAGCAAATGCTCAGTGGTCCCTGCAGAGAGCAGCAAGATGCAGGTCACCCAGGAAACCCAGAAGGGAATGTCCTGCTGTGGTATTGGCAGAGTAGGGGCTTCTTATTAGTGCTAAACCCGAAGGTTTCATACAGAGAACCAAGGGCTTTCTAATGAAGGATTGAATTGGATTTGGTCTGTGCTCAGTGAAAAGCTCTTTGTTTCCAGTTCAAAAGCTTCAAGGGCTAAACATTTTGGACCCTGACACAGACATACTTCAGGCAACCTGCAAATGCTAATCCACGCAAATTTATTTGGTACAAAACATTCCTGTACGTCACCTTCTTTAAAAAAAGAAATCAGCAGTTGTCTTTGGAGGGGTTATTATTTCAGTTCTATCACTGACATTGCCACTGTTAATGATCAGGGAAAATTTTCAAGCTTTGTAGTGTTAAGGAGTTAACAATTTGTGTTGGACAGGCTATACAGGCATAGGAAAAAAAAAAAAAAAAAAAAAACTTCAGAAAGCAAAACACTTGTGTCAGGAGCCCTGAGAACTAACAGTGACAAAACCATTTTTCAGATTAACAGGAAGGGACTGATGAATCAAAAACAGAGATATGAGATACTTCCTGATAGCCTTTAGCTATGTGACCACTTCATCAGTGATCAAACTCTGTTGCTGGAGCAATGCCGTGTAAAGGCTTTGTGATCGTCTTCACTGTAGTTGGTAGAGTAGTAAATCTCAGTCTTTGATGAGGGAACACAGGAACAGGTTTCTTCCTTTGCTTACTAATGCTTAATCAGTTTGTTATCCTCACACAGCACTTCTCAGATCAAAGGCAGAATGTGAGAAAACACAAACAGGCAAACAGGATTTTTTTATTTTTTTTTTCTAGAGCAGTGAGCAGAGATCTGTTTGGGGATAGGGGTTTAATGTCTGTGTTACAAAGTAAGATGATCACTGTCTTGAAGCACTTAATCCCAAAACAGTGAGTGGAAACAGCTCAGAAACATATTTTGTGCATAATTGTTCAAACACTAGATGTCTCTGTGAGCTATACGGTAAGTGACAGCATGCAGTCCATGAGCAGACTAGGCTGGGGCTCAAACAGTGTAGCAAAAGTTTTCTCCTGGAGGTCTGGGTTGACATGACTTTCTGAGTTTTTAAGAATCTTTAAGTTTGTGATTTTAAAAATCTGTTGGTACAATTCCTGTATGTTATAACACACCCTACTTCCTACACCTTCAGTCTGTTCTACTTCTTCCCTCACAGAACATTAACATCACGTGGTATTTTACAGGAAAGAAGAAGTTCAAGAGGAGGAAAATCTACTGTCAGATCACTCAGCACCTGCTCCAGAACCATAAAATGTGGAAGAAAGTAATTGAGGATGAGGAGAGGTTAGCTGGGACAGAGAAGCAAGGCGCAGAGCAATCCACACTGCACCAATCTTCAGAACAAATTCAGGCCATCAGGGAAGAGGAGGAAGAGAAAGGGAAGCCCAAGAGGGATGAAGAGGAGAACACAACTGTAGAACCAAACCAATGACAATATTTACAGCAGTATTTTAAGACAGATTGACTCATGCACAAACTCTTTCTCAAGCCAGCACAGCATTTAGACACAACACTGTAGAAGTATGGGATTATGCGCCTACAGCTGTTTAATTTGTTTCTCTTTCTTTTTTATGGTGAGGTACATTGTTTAAACTCCTATGCTCAAGGAAGCTTTCACACTGCGACACCGGCTTTTACAGATTTTCTTTACAGAGATTTGGAGGTGGGGGTGGGGGATGGAATTATATAAATATATATATACATAGCCAGGGTTATTGGCTGCGCACTTCAGCAAAATACATTTAATGATATATTATGGTCACTGTGATATTTACAGAAGGAAGTTATCTAAAGAAATGCTGCTTCTAAAGCACATTTGCAGTTAACAGTGAGGTACCAGTTAAGTAGCTTTGCTCTTAATGCTGAGGGATAACAGTTCCAAAGCTTTACATGAATGCCAATGTATCCTGCCAACATATACGTGTGCGTGAGGGGGGTGCTTGTGTGTGTGTGTGTGTCATATAGCATAGTTTGAGTTCTTATCAGACTAGCTGTAGCACATGTCCCTATACATGACAATGAACAGGAGGCCTGCATTATAGAGAATTTGTGCCCATGAGGAAGGCGGAGCCCTTTGTGAGGAGTTCTGTGTTTCCCGTCGTCCTCTAAGTCCTGCATTGCACACTGGCTGCAGGCAGCAGCCTTGCAGTAGGACCCATGCTAGCTTCATCTCTGTCTCCTTCTCCTCCTCTTCTGGCATTTCTCAGACTGCTGGCAAAAGGGAAATGCCAGGACGTTTATTTCCAGGGAGGTTTATGAGGGGTTGTGCAGCACACTGCTCTTATAAGGATCTGGCCCTCCGTCCACTTCTGAGTGTGTGAATGGCATATATGTTTCAGCAGGAGAGAGAAGAAAGCAAATGTGCATGCGCACATGGAAACTAGAGGCACACTGCCATCTTTCCACCCTAACCGTATGCCTCCATGCATCAGTGGCCAAACATAACAATTTTGGAGCAAAACTAAGTCAACATCTCTTGAGAGCAAAGAAGGGGAGCATGGGGGTCATGCCTCAAAATAAAATGCAAATGTTGCAATAGGAGAGGGGTGGGAGAATGGTGCCAGTCCTGCGTATGTCTCAGCAACCACTCACATGAGCTTCAGAGAGCTTGTTTTTTCGGTGTGAGGGCTGGATGGGAGCAGTTTGTAGATGGCGTTCTGCTTAGAAGCAGCGTGTTTGATCCCACCAATATACTTATTTTTTGTTTGCTGTTTTTTTTGTTTGTTTGTTTGTTTTTTAATGAGAGGAAAAGATCAGGCCTGTAGAAGAGCAGATCTTTTTGTTTTGTTATGTTTGTTTTTCTCTGTTGTTTATGCTGTGAGCCAAATGTCTATTTAAAAGGTTGAATATTCACTTTCAATATTTTATTTCACAATATTATATTTGTCAATGATCAGCTATCTAGATGTAAATATGGAAAATTTTTTATGGGTTCCTGTAGATAATGATATCTTTAAGAAAAAGAAAAAAAAAGAAAAAAAGGAATTTTTTTTTGTAAAGCTAATTTTTTAAAGAATAAATACAAAAACATTTTTATACAGTGTAGCCATTTTCAACCCAACAAATGAAAAAACCCAACAAATGAAGTCTTGAATACGTGTAAAACCTTCTAGGAAGCCACTGGTCTACAGGTTCACGGCTTTAGCATACTAATGCTCTTTGGGACTGGCGGCACCAACCAGTACCACACAATTTACAGGTTGTCTTTGTTGATTTTCCCCACAAAAATAATTACACGTATATATATATATATATATATATGAAGATCATTATCTCTCAAAAATGGTTTGACTACATATGTTTTTTATATGCTAATCTTGCAGTCCCTTGCCAAAAAGAGGATTGCTTGTTGGAGTGAGAATGCTTGTGAAAGGAAGAGTTTGTAGAAGTCCTTTCTATACATGTATTAAATTGCTGACATTGCATCCATCGCGTTTTGCCATTGTTATACATTTGCAGTATTTCCCCGTCCTGTTGATACCTTCCCCAAAATGTTAGAAAACCCTCTCTATCAAAGCCAACATGTGCTGTCAGAGTTTCTTTTTGCTTTGCATAAAGAGGATTGTGGTTTCTTTCAAGCAGAGAAGATGTTTGCATTTTGACAGAATGACTGTAAAGCATGACTCTGGACGCTCTTACCAGCAGAAAAATTTAGTCAGTGGTTTTCAATGAAATCAGAAGAACAAAGATCCAAATTTCACTATTGTTTTACAGGGAAAGGATAAAATTAATTCAAAAGAAAAAGTGCCATCACTTGAGTGTTCTCCAAGATCTAAGCAAGTCTCCACCAATTTCAGCTTGCATTGTTTTCATGCCTTTTCTGTTACTTCGATTAACCATTTAATTTGGGGTTTTCTTGTACAAGTGACATGCATATGTTATAGTACCAGAATTATTTAATGTGTTTCATTCTGCCCTTAAAAATTAAACATAGAGATGCTTTAAAATATCACATCTCTAAGCATATTTTTCTTCTTTTTTTTTCAGTGCATGCTCACTGGAACTAGATTTTTTATATTGATTTTATATTGCTTTTGCTAGAAGAAGAAAAAATTTATTACACAAAGTGTCAGTGGGTGCCCACTTGGTAAAATTAAGATGAGCCAGAATGAGGTCAGTTCTTGTGACTAAAGTTTCATTAACTCATCTAAGCAAATATACAAGGTTGAACCAAGAAAAATTATCCTAAAAATATTCAGAAAGGGAATTATTATATTTTTCTTATTCATCATTGTCAATAGGTTGTCAATAGGTAAAATCACATTCCACTCTAATTTGTTGAGCTTTCTTTCTATAATAACAATGCAGCTGTTATAAATTACTACATTGATACACGAGCCTATTTGTGGGTGCAGTTTGATTAACTCAGGACTTTTACAGTATGGGAATTGCAGACAGGCGATTTATCCAAACTGCTAGCAAAGAAGCAAAAGTATCTGGGACTGGTGATTTTTTTTGTACTCCACATAATTAATGGTAAAATCCAATTTCTGCAGGTATTCACTCCTTATCAATCTGATTTTGCATCTTTGCAATGTATTTCTGGAAAAAAAAAATTAACAGGGAATTCCCCAGGATGTAACACAAAGAAAATATGAGATATTTTATATCAAATGTGTGAATACATTTGTTTGCTTTTTTTTTTTTTTTAATAGATAGTGAAACAGTGACTTGTTTTTAGTTTTTATTTTTGTTGTTGGTTTTTATACAAGTCTCTTGTCCAAAGGAGGCAAACCTTTTGACCCGCAGTTACAGCACTGTTTTTGAGGTTAGACCTTGATGCTTTTCCATTTTGTGCAATCCTTTGGAGTTGCAAACCCTAAACAAACCACAACCTCTGCAGTATGTGGGGGAAAAAATAAAAAAAAAAATACAAAGAAAAAAAAAAAAGAATTGTATCATCAAAGTGTTCAGAATTCTGGTAGGATATTTAAAGAATTGATATGGGTTTCTGGTATGTACATTGTGTAAAGGGGTTCATCAAATGCTAGAGAAAGTAAGCCCTATTTAAACAGTGTTTTGCAGTTTAAAAAAAATTAAAATATATTAGTTTTCAATTCTTTAAAAACAGAGAGGGAGAGAAGTATCAGACTGTTTTCCAGATTCAATGTTTTGCTTTTTCCACTGTAATGGCACCTGGGGTCTGATCCTGTTCCTTTTAAGTCTAGGAGGTTTGCTGTTTCATTAAGTTGGAGGCTTTTTGTAGGACTTGCAGCTTCTTGTGCAGTGAGAAGAATGCTCTGCTAATCACGTGGCAATTACATATAAACCTATTTGTCCCTATATTCCCAGTTTGCTTAGTAGTCATATGATGTTTACTGTGGAATATAACTTCTCTCTTTATGCTTGTGGTGCAGAAGGAACACAATGAAGTAGAGATTATGAAAGCCTCAAATTAATTATTTTATTACCTTTTCTCTTATGAGGAGTCTAAGATTTTGGTTTTCAAGAACCTAAAACAATGTCTGGAAGTAAAAATTTCTACCACTTTCAAAGTGTCATAGTTTATTTCTTATGTTCTGATTTTTGAGGGAAATTGGCATTACGTGTTTCATTTGATGTACAGAATGTGTTGACACACCTCTAAAAATCAGTTGCTTCCTCCAGTAGAAAAAGCAGTTGATGTGATTCTGTGAGCCATAGATCAGAAATAAGTTTTAGGAATCTACTAGGAAAAAGTAATTCTCCAGCATTTCTTGCAGCATTTTAAATTTCCTTCCTCTGTACATGAAATCCCTTACAGAAAGGTGGATAAATGACTGTGTCACAAATACCCTCCCCTGTGACCTTGTACAGGGTGCTGGCTCTCATAGCAAATGACTGCCACATTCTAGGTATAGATGGTTCCTAGGCAGATGTGATTAGAGACTGCATTTTTAACATGTGTTTTTAGATACAAAAATATTTTTGAAAGTCTAGACTGACATCTCTACTTTCCTTCCCTCCTTCCCTCCAAAATGCCTCAGGTAGTAGAATGCAGTGTGGACAAGCCAAGGTTCTAACCAAACTGAGCATCGGTCGGTGGAACAGCTCACGAGCACTTCCCAGCCTATGTTCCAGTCTGGGCACCTCTGCACCCGCTGCTTCATCCATGCTACCAAGCTGTGAACTGAGTAGGTGTGGAGTGGCTGTCAGTTTAGGTACTTGACAGGCTGGGACTTAGGATGTTAGAGAATTTTGTCTATTTTCAAAATGAACCTTAAGCACTTCTGAAAAATTTTGTCATCAGCATAATTCATCCAAAGGTTTGTGGTTGGTCCCAGGTTTTAATGAAGTAGTTTTGCAAAGCCTCATAAGTTACCTGGCACATCCTGCTTGGTCTGTGTGGGGGTTTGATCCTGTGGTGGGGTGATGGTGAGGGGGTTGCTGCTGATGTACATGGGTGGAGGTTTGGATCCACCTTCTCACTGTCTTTCCATTGGCACTTCCAGAAGTGCCAGTCAGTGTGAACCTGACTGTGACACCTGACAGTATGAACCAGACAGTGTGAACCACTGCAAACCTGGCTGTGCCCAGGGCTGGGACCTAGAGCAAGCACAGGATGCTTGACCAGCAAACACCCCAGAGATATGCATCAGCTGATCCAAGTGTGGGAGAGGCAACACAGGTGTACTGCAGTTTATTCTAGAGAGGAACCGTCTAATAGAAAGGACATTCAATAGGCTGGGAAGGCAGCAAAGAGTTTGTGGCTTGTCTTTCTCAGAAAGCAGAGGCTTGACTGTTGGAAAACCTTGTGATTCATAAAAGGTATAGTAGTTGCTATTTCTTTTTTAAGCACTGTTATGGTTGAGATGTTCCAGAATTACATGTTTAAAGCAAAAAGATTTCAGTTTAAGCATGAGCATGAGAATCTTGAGTGTTAAATCAGAGCATGTGCCTCTCCCTGGTCTGCTGCAGGTTGGAGGCAGGTGTGGACACTCACTTGTTCTCTCTAGTCTTGGACCTGGATATTGGTTTGAGAAGTTGAGTATTCCTTTTCTTTGAAAATCAAATGTTAATCCCATTGGAGTGAAGTAAACCTGGAGTTTCAGGGTTTTTAGTTGATGTTGCAGCATTAGTTAAAATGGTCACAGCATTAAAGAGAAATGTTCCCACTAACTAGGGCAGAGGAATCTTCTTTTCAATTTTTAAGTGACTCAACAAATAAAAGCACCCTTTGACATCTGAACGATTTTTTTAAAATTATTTATTTATTTATTTTTAATGTTAGTAGGAGTAAAAGCCTATAAAATTGAAAGGAAGGAGTAAAGAAAATATGCTTATGATGTGTTCTCAGTGTTCAGGCCTCCTGAAGAAAATGTACCTGTTAAGTGTTGTTGAATGGATGGGGAAATAATTGAAATCAAGGTGAAAAATATTTAAGCAATCATTGGAAAAACTAGCAAAAATATTAATTTTTGAAGGCAAACTTTGAATTAGAACAAAATAACACCAGTACATTTGAGAACAACTGAGTAAGATAAATCTTTCTTTGAATTTCATCGTTTTCATTTAGCAAAACAACATTCCTCTGGAGGTAAATCAAAGCATGGTTTTAGCCCCTGCTGTGGAAGTTATTGAATCTCCATGTTGGAGGGAGCAGTGCAAGAGTTACCCTCCATTTACTTCCTAATTATGATTTATTCAGAGTCTTTTATTGTGATTTGCTTGGCAGGCAGGTGATTTTTGATGAAAAATTCATCACACCTCCTCAGTAGGATGTAAACGTTGCCCCTGTAAGTCCCTGCCTGAAGTCTTAGGGAGATGCAAGCTCCTCAGGAGCTGGCTGGCAGACGAGCACTGATTTATTTCTGGAGAGTCCATTCTCACAATGGCAGATGGGGGCAAAAGCTTGAGCTAGTTAACAATACTTCTTTGGCAAATCTGAAACAGTAAGTATTGCACAGCTTGAAAGCTTGCCAGCATCATTTGAGGTGTATGCAGAAATTCCCCTGAGTGCTTGCAGATGTAAAACAATTCCTTCTCAAAGGTGATTCGTTTATGTATAATCAACTGGCCATGTCAGTGGTCTGTTGAGCTGAAGTATGATGTAAAAGAAGGATTTCTGATTGAAGTTTTCTAGTCCTCTGTAATCAAAGAAAACTTTTATTGGTGATACAGGATGAAAAAATGATAATATTTATTTCAATTGAGATTTTTTAGGTAGCTGTACTGTGCTTGTTGTTTCTTACTTACAAAGCTGTGCTTTGTGGTATGTCCAGTTTGGAAACTGGACAAGAGGTGAGAGCTGTCCTGCTGCTGCTGGCATATGAGACCTGGGTGCGCTAAGGAGTACACCAAAATTTGCAGACATGGGAAGTCTTTTCTCCCAGGAGTGACTTGGATGGGAAAACACGTGCGTTTCTGTTTTCTGGCTGTGTAGAAGCATAAGAGCAGACATAATGGACTTTGCCACAGCTGTAGGCTGCATATCCTTTTATGACTGAAATCTGTCCTGGCTCAAGGGCTGTAGAAAGCAGATTAAACAAGCAAGGTGCAGCACACGCCATGGCCCCAGCGAGGCAGGCATGCATTTGCTCTCACATCTTCAGGCCTGCAGCAGGAGCTGTGCTCACACTGTCAGCCTGTGTGGATGGTAGAGGATGCAGCAGGAGGGAAAAAAAGTCAGATTTCAGAGCGCTGTTGTCGAAGTAGCTGGAGAAATACCTGTGGATAAAGCAATCCAACTCTATACCCACCTCGCCATGGTTGGCTCACAGCTGTAGCCCCAAGCGCAGTGGGCTTAGATACTCTGTTTCCCAACACCGTCTTCCTTTATCACAGCGAACACTTGCAAACAATTAATGTGAATTAGCAGTTGCTTGTTGCTTTTAAATATTTATTTAAAGGAGAATTGTTTTTGTTATGTTGTTCCTTGACCCCAGTCATTTTGCACCCATGCTTTTATGAAAAGGAAAAATAAATATAGTAATGTGAGCAGAGAGAAAGCAGTTAGTTTGCCAGGCATGTACATACTTTTTTGGGTAGAAAATCCATCGTCTGCTAAGGCTATGTTCCCTTTTTGAAATTCCTCCCTGATTCTGACACACAATTAAAATCTGTATTTGAATGCAAAATTTTCATTTTAGGTCTTTATAAACCTTAATGCAGTACTGCAGATGGTATCTAAAAGATCAAAGACAGCATTTATTACTGCTATATGGTGTTGATGGTATTTTTAATATTTCAGCTATGTCAACATACATTTGGTCATTACTTTTCTAAAGTCAAGTCTTCTTGAGTAATCAATGTAAGATGTTTGCATGATGGAAAGTAATTTAAGTTCACTTTTTAAAAAGATGTGATTCATACTGTATGTTATGTTTGTTTATCAGATAACATTTTCACTGAGGGGTGGCAGTTTATTTTTTCTAAGTGCTTTTGATAGATGAACATCTGGGACATTTTCCAACAGAAACACATTTTCTAACCCTTGCCTCAGCAACTCCAGTGGAAGTAGTACCTTTCAAAAATAATGGTTTTCCAACACAGTTTTGCTATCTGGCTAAAAATATGCAAGTATGCACAACACATACAAGCTATATTTAAATAAATAAATAAAATCCCATTTTCATTGAAGTAATTAAAAAAATCAATCCAGCAAGGTCAAAACACTTGCTGAATGAAAATTTTGGGTGTGTTGATATAATGGACATGCTTGCTTCCCGACCAAATTTTGGGGCCAAATCATACAAATTTTGTATTTTCAAATCCACAAAAGGCCAACTGAGGTTTCTGAGTTCAGAAAACCCCAAGGAATTGTTATCTCCCTTTATACCCTGTGAGCCCTTACTCCTGTTGACTCCCAGTGCTGCGTTGGGACCCCAGGGCACTGCGCTCCAGACAGATTTTGTGATGTTCATTCAGATTCAGCTTGAGCAACACATTTCTGCAAATCTCCACTAAATTTCCAAATTAATCCTTCCTGAATTTTTTCACCTCAGGAGGTGAGAGAAAGGGGGGAAAAGTAATTTTTTTACGGCTGCATTTGAAAAGGGTTTTGGATACCTTTGTAAGTCCTTTGAAGCAATATTTTGAAAAATAACTGCCAACCAAAGTGGCAATGCAGAAAAGTGCCATCTTGTTCAGGATTTGTACACACCAATTTTTAACACAGTGTTCTTTTCACTAAGTACTACATACGTTAATTTATATTTATATATTGTCAATATTGTTGTAACCAAGCTTCTCCTTTTTAAACACTTCAAGAAAAAGGCCTTGTATTTTTAGGTGATTTTCATAAACGGAATAATTCTTTTCCTTTCACTAGTATCTTGCACTCAGTACATGTAGCAATACTTAATATATTCTCTTCACAAGTATTTGTTAAGTGATTTAGTTAATGGCTGATAAATGTTTTGTACAAAATAGATTCTGTACAGGAAAAAAAAATCTTTTAGATAAACATTATTTATTTTTACTGTTTTGTAAGTTAGACACTATAATGAAGCTCCTTTTTTTGCCAGAATTACTGGAAGTGCCTCTTGGTAAAATGTATTATACAGTAAATACGTATTCAAAATTATTAGAAATACTTGTCACAAAATGAACAATGTGGATGTTGCAATGTGAAGACAAATGTACAACATAAATATAATTCTGTGGTATACTGTTTGCTGTGTTTCTTCCTTTATCAAACAAATTTGCTTTCAGTGCTCAGCTTTCTGCTTAAGTGCCAGGCAGCAGATGATCTATCACCTCTTCAAACTCCAATTCAGTAAGGTTGGTGGGAGGAGTTAATCAAGTTTTATATCATGTCCAAAATCACATGTTCTCTCTGAGCCTTCAGGTGGAGGGTATAAAATAGGTGAGCATCAAACTGCAGAGGTAACTGATAATACTAGACAATCCTGAAGAAGGATTTTTCTTGGGCATCATTCATACTACATAACTTCCAGCATAGACAAGGCAGATTTCTAATTTGTTTCACGGCCAGTTATGTGACTAAACACCGAGCTGAGCAGAGGGTGAGGTGAGGGCTGTTGGCTTTGTGGTGGCTGCCAGGCACACCCCTCTCCTGCTCCGCAGTGTCCCTGTAATCCTCTGCTGAACTTCCACCAGCTTGCCAGCAGCTGTTTGATAGTGCAGCCATTAAAAGTGTTTGCATTTTGCCATTGTGTGTCCTGCCAATGCAGAAGGTATTTACCCTTTCTCCATCTTGGTTTTTCTCCTGTTTGGGTATGACAGGGTTATGCTGGTGCATATGTATCATATATTCCTTCTTCTGAAATGTTTGACTATACCATAAAGCAGGTAAATATTGAATTACCATTCTATCTGCCAGCCCTGCTCTGTATGTGATTGTGACCCTTGCTCACGTTTATTGGCATCTGATTATTTGTAACTTTACCAGCAGAATTCTGCACTTTATTTCAGATCACTAATAAATACCACATTAAATGCCGCATGACTCAGACAATCTGTTAGAAGGCTTCATTATAAACATCCTTCTTTAATGAAGACCAGTACTTCAACATTTGTCGTCTATTCTTCAGTCCAATGTGGACCATACTATTTGAATGTGCTTTATATGTTATGGAAACTTTCAGTCTTAGTAATGCAGAGTAGCTAATGTTTCCAGAGAAAATGAAATGTGTCACCTTAATAGTGTTTCCCTTATTAATCACAAAAATAATGTTAAAGTGGGACGTCAGTAAGTTAAATCAATTTTCATGCAACTGTTTTGACAAGTATACTGTCATTCTACAGTGCAAGATTTTGTAGTCCATAATGTGGACTAGTATTGATATCTATTATGAAAATTAATTAAATAAATAATAATAAAATAAATAATTTTACAGCAATCTAATTTTCCCTATTTTTTCTTAAGTTTTATTACCTACTTTCATCAAAATTTGGAGAGCTTTTCAGACACCTTGTTTGAAATGTTTGACTAAATATTTTCTGTATGTGCAATCTATTCCAAGCTTCTTTTCCTATAACTTAAAAATTACAATTTTCAAAATATGAAAAAACATCAGCCACAAATCTGTCTGCTAATTTTGAAGTGCCATCAGTTTATCTGTTCTCTGGCTTAAATTCTGAATGGCAAAAATGTAAGGAAATTTGCACCAGGCAGTGATTAGAAATGTATTAGTTGGGAGCACTGCCAGCATGACAGTAAAATATGGATATACCTATTCTAACCAAGATGCTCATAAGGCTGCAGCTGGTCTGTTCCAAGCTTTTAATAACTCCATAGCATGGAATCATTTGATCCAGAGATTCAGAGCTGCCAACAGAAAAGCACACTGCTGGAGTGACAGAGAAAAACTCTTCTCATTCAATACACCTCATCACAAAGATGAGGCTACCAAGGTAAGAATGCACTTGTCTTTAGAAATCACAGAACTCTCTCTGGAGCTCTTCAAACAGTGAGAGGTTCCCATGGGAAGGGATGAGCAACAAAACACAGTAGAAGCAGTCAATCTGCTAATGAGACCACACATGAGCATGCCTTTCCTGCAGTTCTGGTAAAACATAAAGGAGACCTTGACGCACAATCAGTAGCAGCTCAATTAAATGCTGCATTTTCCAGGTGCTCAAATTACTCTCAACTGCTCAAGCAAATCTACTGCCTAAACCTCACTTAAAGTGTCTCACTAAATATAGAAAGCTCAGAGAATTCTTGGCACTCTGCTTAACATTACTTTTTTTTCTTTTTTTTTTTTTTTCTTTTTCTTTTCACCTTTCAATTCTGTCACTAAAATCCTGTGGAAAAGACATTATCCCTTGTGCCACCATGGGCTCCCTTGATATTATTGGTGTTTCACACATGACTAATATGTCAGCTGCCTAATATCTTGGTGCTGCCCTGACTGATGGGGCGAGTAGCTCTGGGATAGGCATCTCATCTGAAGGTGTCTTTTAACTACTCCACAGTGGGATCCCCAAAACCTAGCAAGCTAAGGAGAAAAAAAGGCAGCTACATTGTTGAGCAGCTTCATAATCAAAGCTTCACATACAAAAACTGTCTTAATTCATGATACATGGGCTAAAACATGCAAGTTTAAAGTCTTACCTAAGGCTTTGATGACTTGTGCCATGCTCAGTCTGGACTACTAGTTGTGATCACTAAGTAAGCCAGGATAGATGCAGTTATGATTTGGAAGCTTGATATGGATAAAAAGTTGCTGCAACATCTGCTTATCTGCAGCCAGGAAGCAAACAGAAGAAGGGTCCTGTTTGATCTGCCTGATGATTTCATTTATAGTGACTGTTGTTGTTGCTAGTAAATTACTTCTCTTCACAAGCTTTTGCACCTGGCAATTGTTTATTACCATGCTTGCCAAAGGCATTGTATTCAACAGATTCCACACCTTCAGCATAATAAACTGTTCTTTAGAACTTTACACCTTCTCTTTCCAAATTTTTAACCTGAATCTTATGGTTTAACCCTAATTCAAGGAACTTATCTGCATTACAGAAAGTGCTGTGGGATTTTATGAAGATTAATGGTGTTAATCCCTAGTAGTTGGCCAAATACCAGTTTCTCTTATTCTATTATTCTAAACTAAAATTATGCCAAAGCTACAGTTACCCCCTGGAGTAACTTTCTGCCCTGAAGAGCTGTATCATTTTGATGGATCTCTATTTCTCCATTGCATCCCCTCAGAACTGCATTTCCTCAGGGTTCACTGGGATCTTTACAAAGTGTGGTTTTATATAGGTACACATATTGCTTCCCTTCTCCTTAAAACTCTAGTTAAAACCTGTCTGGATCTGTAATTTGAAGGACGTCATCATTGAAGGACAACCTCCTACCACTTTTACCTGATCTTTTACTTGGTTACCTTGTGCGACTGCTTTCAAGATAATCTACAGCCATTGAGTATGCTCCTATATATTAACCTAGCATGGAGAACATACATGGTGAAGGTGGTGGTGTTCCATTGTAGGGCTGCAGCAAGTGCTAAATTGAACTCCAACTGCTATTTCCTCAAGTGCTTCTAATAGCCACTGTGTATCTCTGGTTCTCCAATATGCAAGTTTTGTTCTGACAGTGGTTTTCCTATTCATTTATTTGTCTAACAAGGATCGCTTTATCAGCTAATTGCAAACATCTTTGCTGCATCTGCTTATCACTGACTCCAAACTATTTAATTCCCCGAGAATCACAAAAAGCAAAAATGTATTTTTCATAAATTTTGAAGTGAAATTATACTCAGAGATGTTTCTTTAAATGAAATTGTTGCTTCCAACCCATTGTGCTTTCTAAATTGCTTTTATTCTGGCAGCTGCATTTCCAGACTCAAGGGTGGTGGAATGCCTCGAGCTTACTGCTCATTGGACAATGATTCAGATCTGGATCTGTTTGATTTTTTTTTTTCCTGAGCTCTGCACAAACTTCCTTCATGGTCTTCAGCAATCATGAATGATTTCAGTTCCTCTCCCTCAAAGGTAGTTATTACTTGCTATTACTTTACAGACAAAATGCCTGTTTTTGTCTTCTGCATCTTCACTCCTGCAATGTGCTCTCTGAGGGTTTAGGAGCTCACCACAGTAGGGGGACTCTGGGCCACAAGCAGTTACTGCCACAACTGTCTCTCCTTTTGCATGAATCATTGAAGGCACAAGAGGGCAGCTCAGAGTTGGAGCATTCACAGAGTAACATAAATAAAATAATAAAAGATAATTTGATCAAGTGTCAAGCTAAGTAGTTGAGAACTCATTCTGCTGGAAGTCTGTACATAGCTCTGCTTTCTATGGCTTGAGAATGTGCTCTCTGTCAGACCATAGAAATCACATGATCTCCAATTTTAAGATAAAATGACAACATGGTCTATCAAAATCTTGCTTATACGTTTTCTGGGTTTCTCTCTCTTTTTTTTTTTTTTTTTTTTAAAGTCAATATTTTCCTTTTATCAGATAAAACCAAAAGTTTCTTTGCAGTATTTATGTGTGTATTCAGGTTTCAGTGTAACGTTTATATTTGCAGGCAAGCTCCTAAATGTCTGTTAGAATATGTTTTGACATAACACCTTTTACAAAAGAAAAAATTCATGTGTCTGAACACTGGTGTTGTTTTGTTGTTGTTTTTATTTGGGGTGGAGGGAGTTGAGATCTTACAAGGTTAGCATTTTTTCATGAAATGTGCTTAAAGAAGCAGCAGCCAGTTCTGTGGAGCTTCACCTTAGAGACCTGCTGTTGGATGGTTTAAATACTTACTCACAAACCTGCTGTGTGATTAGAGTATTGATTTGTCTATGCATTAAGATTACTCTTGTCCCAGCTATTCACCATAGCTAGACTAGGCTTTGTAAATGTAATTCATTTAACCCTGTACTTTAGAAATGAAGGTGGTCTGGCTTCTAATTTCCTGTAAAAAACACAAAGTAGGAATGCAAAGAAAATGGAAACAGACCTTGAGGAACAGCATTTATCTGATCCTTTGTCCTATATCTGCTTTCAAGGCTTTGTTTCAATTATAGAATAAGCATTATAAGTAAGCAATTTCTTTTGGGACTATGGGAAAGCAAAATCTTTCTTTGATTAATTGTCTAGTGAGCTTTCAGGGAGTTTTGTGACATTGTGCTTCAGCAGTGCTTTACTGTGGTAGGCAGTGAAAAGAGAAATCAGAGTGAGGATTGCCATAACAGGTGTCATGTGCTGCA